TTAATCGCCAGTTGATATCACTTTTCCTCTCAGAGACAAAGACAAATGGAATTTTTCCCCTCAATCTGTTTGGACGCACATTTTTCCGTCAGTGCTGATGAAATCTCGTTCCAAAAAACCAATAAAGTCCGAAGACAGCTTTTGGCAATCACAAAACGATTTGGCATACACGCACCACCCACCACCCACCGCCCATCGCCCACTGCCCTCCCCCTAGTCCACCCCTCGAGCCGCCAAAGTGCCACTACCCGCACTGACTCTATATATCTCTCTTGTCCTTTTCAATAGTTTCAGCACGCTTTACGCTTGGCCTAATTGCCGGATACGGATACGGAATACGGTTCTGAATCAGCTGCCAGCCAGCAAGCCACCCCCCTCACCCCCACCCCCCTATCCACTTGAAGTCCGGAATGTTGGACTTTTCGACATATACAAATTTTCGGGCCAAGAGGGCGGGGTGGGGAGATTGTGCGCAAAATGAAAAATGACAATACGGCGGAGAGCAGGGTCCGAACGAAGTGAAGTGAAGACCGCACGCACTTTTGGCATCAGGACTCTTGCTCTCGTGCTCCTCTCCTCTTCTCAGCTATCTCTGTCTGTGTGTCCGTGATCCTTTCACATTGCATCCTTTTGATGCCGAGGGTGCGAAACGTTTGAATGCGAAATTAAATGATAAAAGATAGCAGTGACACACGCACAACAAAGGACACACAGAGTAGACCCACGCACCACCCACTCCCCTGCCTGCCAGCCAGCCAGCCACTCCAGGCTGAAGGTCGAGCACCTGTTTTATTAAAAAGCAAATAAGCGAGTTGGTCCAAAACAAAAAAAGAGGGTAAAGGACCACCGCACCGCAGACAGCGAAGAGCAATGCGTCTGAGGCATTGTTAATGGACGGATGATACCGTATGATGATGAGGATATGAATGTGAATGTGGATGGTGGATGAGTAGTGTGAGGGTTGTCCTAGATGTTAGCTGACATCCAGCTGGGCAGGATTCTGGGACTCTGGATGATACACCCTAGTCGACGCCTCATCCCTCGCATATATTCCGTGCCTGTGGACTGTCAAGTGGTTGGCGTAGCATAATAATTGTGCATATTTGGCTTTTTAATAAAATCTAATCGTCATGGCATCAGCAGCTCATGGACACCCCGAAATGTGGAATCGTGCCCGAATAGAGGTCGGAGGCAATGAAATTTTAATTAAATTTAGCCAAACAATCGCACCCGAAAAGGGGAAGGAAGCCAGCGCCCTGGATTAGGCCTTTCGATATTTGATTGAGCGCCCCAGATGCCTGGCGATTTATGAAATATGGTTGCAATGACCAATTATCCATGGATTATGGTCTGCAAATAATCTTTTGACTTTTCCACAGAGTGTGTGGAGGATTCCCTTAGCAGGGGGACTTAGATGCCTCATATAGGGGAGATTGAAAAATGTAGCTCCAAAAATTAATGTACTTCAAAATTTTTACTCGATTGAGTACAATTAAATACAATTTAGCAAAATAATTAAATGGAGTTTTGGGACTTGTGGTGTGGAGTGTAGGACCATAAGAAGCAACTGGGGACATCCATCCACACCGGATACTGCGGGAAACGTGATGATGCATTTAAGATTCTTCCGATTGGTCATTATTGTCTGGCATTTAATGCCTTGCCTCGTCTTCGGCGGACGGCTTTTTTGATTGATCTACTCATTGACGTGGCCGCTTCATCCCATACCTGCCCCACTGCCTACCTTGCCACATCCTGCTCCCCCTCCTCCTCCTCCACAGTTTGGACTTGACTTTCTGGGGAAAACGAAGACGCACGACACAGATGGCGGCAGTCGATAAGCGAATCGAGGGAATCGAGCAAAAAGTGCAATGGCGTTGACAAAATGGATGATGGGCCCTCAAGGTTGTACAAGTGCATTTTTCTTGCACCATCGCAGGGGGCAGAGGAGCTGGAGGGGTCAGGGGGTCATCCACTGGGCGGCTTGATAGAGTTGTAGGGGCAAATAGATCGCGAAATCTTCAAATTTTATGGGAATGGCACAGAGAATGGCTTATTTGGTTTTCCGAATCGTGGCTGATTAATGGTTCTGATTTAAAAGTTTTAGTTCTTGGGTTTAGGAGGCAAAAGCTGTTAGTTTCTGATGAGAAATATTTTGTAGATGTACAATACTATGCACTCAAGAACGGATATAACTGATTTATATCTATATCTTGTTCAATTTTTACCGATTCTTGAGAGACATCGATTCTGATTCATGCATCAAAACCTCAAAACAAAAATTTCGATCCATATTTTTCAAAATTTTCTGATGGACCCCCTTGTAAAATCCAGGAATTCCATTTTAGCCCCGAACCAAGGCCATATCTTGGCCAATTTCTATCCGATCCTTGAGAGGAATACCTTAAACGATTTCTAGTTCGATTCTGCTCCAATCTGCATCAAAACCTCAAAACAAAAATTTCGATCCATATTTTTCAAAATTTTCTGATGGACCCCCTTGTAAAATCCAGGAATTCCATTTTTGCCCCAAGCCGAGGCCATATCTTTGCCAATTTCTATCCGATCCTTGAGAGGAATACCTTAAACGACTTCTAGTTCGATTCTGCTTCAATCTGCATCAAAACCTTAAAATAAAAATTTCGATCCATATTTTTCAAAATTTTCTGATGGACCCCCTTGTAAAATCCAGGAATTCCATTTTTGGCCCAAACGAAGGCCATATCTCGGCCAATTTTTATCCGATCCTTGAGAGGAATACCTTTAACGATTTCTAGTTCGATTCTCCTTCAATCTGCATCAAAACCTGGAAACAAACATTTCGATCCATATTTTTCAAAATTTTCTGATGGAACCCCTTGTGAAATCCAGGAATTCCATTTTTGCCCCAAGCCGAGGCCATATCTTGGCCAATTTCTATCCTATCCTTGAGAGGAATACCTTAAACGATTTCTAGTTCGATTCTGCTTCAATCTGCATCAAAACCTCGAAACAAAAATTTCGATCCATATTTTTCAAAATTTTCTGATGGACCCCCTTGTAAAATCCAGGAATTCCATTTTTGGCCCAAACCAAGTCCATATCTTTGCCAATTTTTATCCGGCCCTTGAGAGGAATACCTTAAACGATTTCTAGTTCGATTCTGCTTCATTCTGCATCAAAACCTCAAAACAAAAATTTCGATCCCTATTTTTCAAAATTTTCTGATGGACCCCCTTGTATAATCCAGGAATTGCATTTTTGCCCCAAACCAAGTCCATATCTTTGCCAATTTTTATCCGATCCTTGAGGGGAATACCTTAAACGATTTCTAGTTCGATTCTGCTTCATTCTGCATCAAAACCTCAAAACAAAAATTTCGATCCATATTTTTCAAAATTTTCTGATGGACCCCCTTGTAAAATCCAGGAATTCCATTTTTGCCCCAAGCCAAGGCCATATCTTTGCTAATTTCTATCCGATCCCTGAGGGGAATACCTTAAACGATTTCTAGTTCGATTCTGCTTCATTCTGCATCAAAACCTCAAAACAAAAATTTCGATCCCTATTTTTCAAAATTTTCTGATGGACTTGTAATCCTTGCTAGATTTCCACATAAGGTCATCATAGTAGACAATATCTTGGCCATTTTTTTTATCTTACTCAATATTTAGACCTTAAAAGGTTTTGAAATATATCCTCCATTAATTTTCACCAAAACCCTTTGAAAAAACCGGATCTAGTTACCCAATTATCTGGCAAATTAAGTATTTAACTGCCTTTAAATAACCAATTTTTCTAATGATTACAAGAATTTTTATAGGATCTGCTCCCCAGTCGCCTGTTGCTTCCTGAACGAATAGACGAAACTGATCATCAAAAATGCGCAACGTCCAAAGCGTTTTGCAACTTGCCGCAAAGACAAGAGCAGCCACAGAAGTTGCATGCCCCGGCGTACACCGGAGGTATTCTCCACAGAGATCGCGAGGCTGCCGCAACGGTTGTGGCAATGGCAGGGGGTAAACGTTTCTCAGGCCTGGGATCTTGGGATCTGGGATCGCGGCTGGCGGCTCGGGAATCGAACCGATCGTGCGTCATATGAATGCCTCGCCTTGCCTCGTACTTCCCTCCTCCGTCCTCGTCCGCGTTGTCAAGAAACAAATTTGGCGGCTACTCGTTCTCGTTCATTCGATCGTTCGATTTGGGAGCAGGATCTGCCGGAATATATACTTATGTACATATATATACATTCAGAGGGGGGCTTGGCGGGGGCAGAGACCCAACTGCTAACAACTGCATTCGTTGCAAGTTGGAAAGTCAGCATCAGAGGGAGACAAAAAACAACTTAAAAGCATTTTGCAGTCGAGCCGACGCAAGACTTCATCATCTTTGTGGCTTGGTATTAAGTGTAGGCCAGGGGGGGCGGTGGTGGAAGGAGGGAGGAGCATCCAAGGGGGGGTTGCAACAATTTAATGCTGACGATCTTGCAGTTGTTTTGCGAACCAACCATTCATTCGTTTGGCCATTTTGCCGCCGCGAGGAGATAAGAAATTTTGCGATTTGCTTGGAAATTGGCAGAAAAACTAGAAAAGCAACAATTTGATTAAGAAATACATAGGGAAAAATATGTAGAATAATATTAGAAGGATAGGGGTATAAAATAGTATAGCTTAAGTCGAAGCTATAGTTAGGTGGTAGGCTTCACCAAACTCCCAAAACTTATACACTTTTTCAAAATAAGCTAGCTTATTAAGTAGATACTCTAGATTCTAGAAACTAGATACTTTTCGCTTTAAAAGCTTCTCATTTAATATTTTAATATTTTTAATATTTAAACAAAGATTGTATATCCCAAATTCTATCAAGATAACCTTCCTTGTTTAACCAAAAATACAATCCTTTACCAAAATATAACCAGACAACTTCCCCTTAAAGACATACTTCTTTTTTTTCTGTGCATTTTAGTTTGTTCTCTTTTTGGAGAACCCACGGGATGGGCTCTTATCAGTGAGCTGAAGAACTCCGGACTCCGGATCGTGTCCGATACCGAGGCTTAGGATTCTCGTCCTGCCGCCTGGCCGCAAAACCAAACATCGGAGATTGTCCATCGAATGGCTTTGTCTTTGTGCCGCCGGTACGGTTGTGCTTTTCGGTGGAGAGCAGGAACGGAGGGGGCATGGGGCATGTAGTGGAGTATCTGGAGAGGTGGGGCTGCTGGATACTCGGCAAAAACGCACCGAATATCAGGGCCAAAGCAGAGACTGCAAAACAGAAGCGCGCCCGGAATGTGAAAAGTTGGTTCCCATGACTCCATCTCCCTGGGACAAGGCGCTGTTCAAAGACACCGAAATTCGTCGTCTCCATCTTGGCTCGATGTTGCCTTTGTTGTTGCCTGTTGCCCTGAGCCCGGGCCTGGTTCTGGGTCTGGGCCTGTTGGTTCGTGGGTTTGTCTGCCTCGTTTTGTATTGTATTTGTAGCTTCCAGTTTCAGTTCCAGCTCCGGCGGCTCCTCCAGCGGCTTGCCACCTTGCCTCCCCCCGTCTCCACAACATGCCCCATTGCTGGCTTTGCTCACCTCGCCGAGTTGTTCACTGTTTATCAGCGATTTCGAAGCATTCAACATGCTGTTTCAACTAACATAAAAACATATTGAAACATTTGGCATTGCTGGCGATAAGGAGTAATGTACAAAAAAATGGGGTGAGTGGGGCCTCAGAACACGCCAATATCAGGATATTTAAATATTATTCAGGGTTTTTGGAGAGGAATTTAAAGTTACAATAGGAGTCTTTGTTCAAGGATTATAACAAGGATTTTTAAGCATTATATTATTAAAAAAAAAGATAACAATACTATCATATAGCTTATATTATAAAATAGTAACTATATTAGTTTGAGAGTGTTAAGTCGTATTATGGCTCTTATTACTTTATTATGGCTCTTCATAACCTGAAATTACCTTAATATATAGCCCATATTTTTAATATTTAACCCCTCCCATCAATAACTATCCAATACTTGTTTCTCCGTGTACAAATATGCCGCCATAAGTAGGCCCTTAACCTAAGAGTGCCTCTAGCGAATCGTATCGGAGGAGACTGCCCCCAAAAACGTAGCATACTTCTGTGCGCATTCGCGTCTACCTCAAAGCAAATACTTCGAAAACATTTTCATTACTCCAATTTGTCGTCGTCATCTTGTGGGGCTCCTTGGCGGGTGTCTGCCTCGTTGGCTGATTTGATTGTTCCGTCCGCTATTCATAACTTTCGGGTTGCCGGGGCGTGGGGTGGTGGAAGCGGTCGTGGAAAGCGGAAAATCGCTGGCAGCACGCGGCACGCGGCAAGACCGGCTGCCAAGGATGCTGCTGGCTGAGTGAGACTCACCCAGGTAATGAGGCCGAAATTACTTGGTGTTACCATGACAAGGGGTCTACTTCCCGTTATTAGCCAGTTCATCAAACCGCCTGCCGCCGGCACCTTTCTTTTTTTTTTATTAGTTTTCCTTAATTTTTTTTGTTTGCATTTCATTTTCTCGCTTATGCAATCGAAAGTTTGTCAAGCTGCTATGGGGACATGGCATTTGACCTTGTGAACTATGCCAGCAAAAAATATAGTGTGGAAAAGAATGCCGCAAATACGGTTTATTGATGGAAAATTGATGTTGTTAGCACACAAAGGTCCTGCGACAAAAAAGTGGGAAGGAAAATAAAGGATAGAAGGCACAATGCATTTTATTAAGTGACAGGTTTTGGTTTACTTGGTTTACATTTATTTTAAACTTTAAAAATAAAATTATAAATAGTGTAAGAGAAGATAGAATTTAATCTTAAAGGAGACTCTGTTCTACAAAGGGGTTTTATTAAGTATCTTTATGGTTTCTACCAAATCTTTCGCTACATTTTTATAAATATCCCCCAGTATTAAATTTACATTTTTACCATTTAATTGATCAAAAGCCAAGTTAAAGTCACAATTAAAATTGCAGAAAAAAATTATAAGCATTCGTGCGATAAGCCCCTGAGCCCTGAGAGTATTCCGCATTCGTGATGGGCAGTTATCGTGTTCATTATCTGAAACATGGCCAGGACTTTAGGACTACTTGCATATTCGACACAAATGCCAAACGCGACCAGGCATCAATTTCAACAGCTGCTCCCGGGGATTGGGGGATTCCGGCGGCACTCTGCCACTCAGGAACTCCGCCACTCCGGCGTTTCGACAAACGAGGCGAGTGCTGAAAAATGCAAATCAAGTTTCAAATATTTGAACAATAATATTTGTGGAATGCCACCCAAATTACTCACAGACTCGTGAAAGAGAAAGAACGAAAAAGAAAAGGCAGCGCCGAAAGAGAAAGATATATGTAGGGCGGAGAAGAATGAGAGGACATCATACATATTTAAAATGTCGCGTGCCGTTAACTTGGAAATGCCAAAAATTAGGGGCAGAAACAGGAACCGCCGCCATACATTCTAATTAATAGCGATGGGGAGCAGCAGCAGGATAGCGGGCGGAGTGGAAAGGAAGTGCGGCAACCTCAAAAGTGCGGCATTAGAAGTCGTCTAACCAGATGCTGATCCAGCGATCGGTGGTCTGCCCCGTTCGGTGCCTGTCAGCCCGATGCATTATGCATATGAAGGCGAACAGGATGCCCCAACTCCCGCTTCTGCCTGAAGACAGTCTTTCCTCCATTTGGACAGCTTATCGCTTCCAAACAGCTACCGATGTCCGTTGCCTGAGTGCCTCTGAGATCACTGTCCCCTTCCCCTGTTCCACCGATCTACCCAGGGCTACCCAGGTGATTCCCAGGCTGAGTTACCTGACCACCGTGGGCGCCGGCCGGAGCTATCGACGACACATTGACAGGACATAATCGGCACACTTGTAGCGGCTTATCTTAATTGCTACTGACCTGCGCAACGTTTCCAGGCTCCACCAGTTTCCCCAGCTCCTGGCTCAGGTTTCCACCAAGCGGAGGTTTCTCAGGTCTCGGGAGTTATTTTAAATGCGTTTTTCAAGTGCTTCTTTGCTGGACAAAGAGCCGGCACAGGATTGAGGCACTGCGAGAAATAGTATACCATAAATGGATTTTAAGAAATATTAAAACATAAATAAGCAAAAAATAATAAGTTTTATTTAAAATTGGTATAAAGGTATAGGTATAGTACCTGGACATACCTTTATGTCCAGGTACTGTATTATTTTCAAAAATGATCAACTTCAAATAAAGTTTTAATTTTAAAATGTTATATGATGATACTTATATGATACTTCGGAGATCTGGGGGGTGCGGGGGTGTGCTCTTCAGCGCGGGTGTGCTCTTAAGTTCAGCTAAGCGGCGGCCCAACGGCCCCTCACCTAAACATCTGGTCCTTCGAGCCGGCTATGAACCAGCGACCTACAAATCTACAGTCCTACAGATCTGTTATAATTTAGCTCCAAATATATAAAATAAGTAAATAATAATACTTCTTAAAATGAGATAAATATTAAAAATATCTTCCCCTATCCTGAAATCCTTCTTTCCGGTTTCCGGTTCCTGAAAGTTCTTTCTCCAAATTATGGATTCCAACTTTCAAATTAATTTCCAAAAGAACAGAAATTTGAAATAGTTAGACTTAACTTGAAAGAAAATGTCCTTAAATATTTGTTCCTATATCTTAGACCTTAGAAAAACTTAACCCTTAACCCAAACTATTTCTCCATGTGCCCTTTGGAATTATTTGTACCATGTGTGTCATAATATTTTGCATATTTGTTAGTTGCGCTCTTGACGATGGTACATATTTGTTTTTCTTTTATGGGGTATTGGGTTTTCCTTGTGGCATTTTCCTCCTGGGCGTTTGTGGTCATTGCTAATTAAAGATTATGCGCTGCGCGTGTCCCCGATGCATTCCCCGGATCGAATGGATTCCCCGGATGGCCCGGATGGCCAAGTCGACCAGTTGGGTGGGATTGCGATCCGATCGGGTTGGCCTCGGATATCGAGTGCTCTGTAAATGGTCGCTCGATTGGCTGGCTATTGGCGATTGTTGCGGAGACTTTGCTTTTGTTTTTATTCCGCAGAAGTGTAAATTGCGGCTCAATGTGCGAAATTATCATTACCATATCGGGTTGTCAAGAATTTTAACGGCCATTTGTGTGTGAGTATGGGGAGTGTATCTGTGTGTGTGTGTGTTTGTGATGCTCATGTAAGTGCTCTCAACGAGTGGATTTACGCGGAATTGTAGACTTCCCCCCTTTTGCATTCCCCAATCTTTCCACTGCTGTCCACCCATCCAGCCTCCCCCCAGCCTTTATCCTCTCTTGCCATCCCGCTGATGGATGGAGCTGCCAGCACTCGCTCTCACTCTCTCTCAATCTCTATCTCTCTGTCGCTCACAGGTGGACACCCAATATGGCTATTGAGTTATTCACTTTGACATGCCGGCAGCGGCAGTGGCATTCCACTCCATTGTGAGCCGATGGCCCGGGAGTTGAGCCGAAAACTGCAACTGGAATGCGTATTAGCAATAACAGGGCGCATATTTCATACACATGTGCACTTTTCGTTACTTTACTTGCTATCATGTTGTATTTTTTTCACCCCCCCTCTATCCTTTTTTTTTTTGTGTGGTTTTCGGGTTTTTTGGGGCTTCTGGGTGTGTGATAGATGGCGTGATAGAGAGGGGGTGGCGGCTGTGCGGTGGGCGGAAGAATTATGACAACATTGCATAGTTGGTGAAAGTATTTTGTATGCGGCAATTAGGAGCGACCTGGCGGTTGCATGCTCGGCCACCATTACAACGCCCCCCTGCCCCTCTTGGTGCTCTGGGGTTCAGTTGATTTTAATTACGCCCCTTTTGGCAGTACACGCACATTTTTGGCCAATTTCAAGGAGCTACGGCCTTAAGGTCAGCTACGGCGAGTCCTGCGGCAGAGTCCAACCCTTGGCAAGATGTCTGCCGCTTGCCACTGTGCTGCTCGCTCGCACAGGCACAGGGAACCGGTTTCTGCGGAGGAAACCTCTTTGCATGGGGCGGAGACTTGAGTTTCTGCTGCTGCTACTGCTACTGCTGCTACTGCTGCTGGTGTGTTGTTGTTACTTTCTCTTATCTGATGGCAATAAGGCTGCGCCTCTCTCACTCGCTCCGCTCTCTGTCGCTTGATATGTTGCACGAAATGAATTGTTTGCCTTGCGAAATATACATCACGCCACCGGTCTGAAGTACACTACAGTTGTCTCGCTCCAACGCAGACAGTTATTGGGGGGAGCTGCCCCGAGTGGGGGTCGAACTGGGTGGAGGGAGGGGGGGTTGGCTTTTGGGGTGTGAGACAGAGAGGGCTGGACTTCTTCCGACGCAGCGAAAAGTTTTGGCAAAATGTTGCAATTGTTCTGGCCAGAAACACTGGGGAAATGGAGTAGAGTGGGTGGTTGGTTGAGAGTGGGTGGTATAAATCTCTCTCTTTCTCTCTTTCACCCCTTTCGGCCATTCTTTGTACCTTTCTCCACCTTTCTCACTCTCTCTTGCCCGGTGTATCCAAAGCCAAAGCATTGAAATCGATTCAGCGAAGTGAACTGCATTTGCGGCACTTGCACTTGAATGCATTTTAAAGCGAGAGCATATTTTTCCACCAAATTTCAACAATTTCAACAATTCCATCCCGCCGGGCAATGCCTCGTCCGTTTTGCGCCGTTATGAACTGCATACACATATCCCACGTACATATCTTTCTTCATACATACATACATATGTATGCGATTGCACCGACATGCCGTGCTCTGTGTGTGCATTATTAACCAAATATTTTATATTCATCTCTGGCCAGCGTCCATCTCACTGGCACTCTGCTTCTTGCTTTTTTTCACCGCATTTTCATGCCGGATGTCCGTCTATGTCCGTATTTCCATACGTGTATGTGTGCGCCAGAGTGAGAGATCCTGTGAGAATGTGTGTGGGCGGTACACAGTGGATTCCCTTTTAATTAACTCAATTTCATGGCATTTTCTCCTCTCCACAGCAAAATATTTTTTGTTTTTCATTTTCATTTCTGTTTTTTTTTTATTTGTTTTTGCTGCCCATACACATATTTCATATCCTGGCCAGGCTGTGATGTGATGTGGTAATAAGTTGCATTCTTCTGTGAATTTACAATAATTGAACACCAAACAATAAATGAGTCCGTAGCATCTGCATTATCCGGAAAAAAAATGAACCCACAATGGGGATACTACAAATAAATAAATACCACACTCGTATCCGGGCGTGCAAATATTTCGGTTATTCATACAATCTACGTTTTCAACAATTTCATAATTAATCAGTGCTATCGACGGCTGTCAGGTTCATTTGTGCTACAAGTACAGTGAAAGTTGGGAAGTATCTTTTCAATAGGGGCTTTCGGTCTATGTTTTCAAATGGAATTATTTTAAAAATTTTTAATAAAGAGGGAATGCTTTTACTTTATCATTAAGATTTAAATTACAAAAAATAATTGAAAAATAAACGAAATCGTACCCACAATATTCACATTTTAAGAATCTCTTGTAAAGCATCAATGACACGCAGTGTGGCCATAGCTTTTCTTTTTTAAAATTTCAAATAATTGGTTGAAAAGAGTCTATATTTAGTCTATATCTTATATGTAGTTTAAGTCATTTAATTTCAATTATACTATATTATATATTTATTATATTTATTTATTTTTAAAACTTATTTATCACTTATGTAGCACGTTCGTAAAATGGCACGTCGTGCTTTTTTCCAACACTCTTTTGAAAAGACATGTGCTTTTTTCCAACACCTTTTTTTGCAGCCCTCGATGGATAAAACGCTCGCTTGCAGCACTGTTTTTCAAGATATTCTCAGGAACGGAACTTGGACTGATCATAAAGTTTAACAAATTTTTTGGAATGGAATCCTCCTTGGCTTACGATCTCTGCAAGTGGGTGGAAGACAACCAGGCTTTGGCTACAATCGCCGCGGGAGCTACACTAGTTCTGATCTCTGAGATAGTCTCTCGGCTCTGGAGGAAGCTTCGGCAGCGGATGCTGCCCAGAGGAGCTGCATTCGAGCTGGTCGTCTTCAATGATCAGGGCGAGGACTGTTCGGCGAAGCACTACCGATATCTCTGTGACAAAGTGCCCAAAGAGAAGCAGGATTGCGGCAATCCTTTTTGCTCCGAGCTTAACCAGCAAAAAATAGTGAATCGGATCGATGCAGCGATGTACTCTGTGGACTTGGCCATTTTTTCGTTCCATTCCATGGTCATGACGAAGGCTCTACTACAGGCCTTTAGCCGAAACGTGTGTGTACGTATAATCACTAACCAGGAGTCATCAGCTACCTATGCCTTCGAAAAGTTGCGAAACTATGGAGTGCAGGTGCGCGCACCCAGAAACCCTCTAAGGTCAAAAGCCCTAATGCACCACAAGTTTTTTGTGGTGGACGCCAAATCCCGGGTGTTGGACATCCAGAAGAGCCGGGGACTTCGCCATTATCGACCTTTCGTCACAACGTTCGCCACCGGCTCCATAAACTGGTCAACGCAGGGCTTTGGCGGCAACTGGGAGAACTGCCTCATTAGCTACGACGCTGGAAATGCCGAGATCTACCAGAAGGAGTTCAATCGCCTGTGGGAACTTTCGTCAGATATTGGTCCTCGCAGACATTAAACTCACAAAGAACTATCAAAATCTTAATAAGAACTCGAATAAATGTAAAGCCAATCGTTTGTAAATTTAAAATACATTCCTTTCATTTGAGTAAAAAATAACTTCTTTCTATTTAAAAATCTGAACCCAATAAAGTATGGTTTTTATCCAGGGATATCCTAAGATTCTTAAATAAGCTAACCCCATTGTTAACTAACTCCTCTGACCAACAAACTTTTTAAGAGCAAATTAAATTTGATTGCGCGGAATATTCCTAATACAGTTTGTTCATCCTCGACTGCCTTTCTGTCCCCCATTTTGAAAGTCGAGAGGCAGCCACCACTCCCATCGGAGAGGCCTAAGTCCTGAGCATCCTTTGCCAGGTCAAACTAATAAACTTTCCTTTTGCTTTTTTCCTTGGCACTCCTTGGGGCCCGCAGAGAAACCTCATTTTGCCCAGTGGGACGTCGTCCTTTGTCTTGGCCCATCTAATTGCTGTTTAAAGGCCTTTGTGGCGTCCTCCTGGATCCTGGGTCCTTCGAGCAAGTGCAAATGCAGCAGCTACCAACTTCAAGTCGGTAGCATTTTTGTGAATTATTTTCCCATTATGAGCAGATTAAGTTTATTGTGCGGCCATTGGCAGAAGTGTAGAGCTAGCCCTGGCAACGCGGGGGCGGTTGGCGGGGCCTAAGGGTTGAATTTGTGGATGTGTGGGAGGGTGTGTCGGGTGTGTCGGGGTGTACGGGTGGTTGGTTGAAATCAACCCGACTTGTTCTTGGTCGGCGCTCTGGAAAATTCACTCCACCGCTTTGTTTTTGAGGTCCTGGCAGGATGGCGAAATTGAAAAGGACCCAGAAAGGGGCTAAAACGGTAAACGGAGGTAAAGTATTTTAACGCGGTCTGAATTTCAAAAGTTTTGCCAAGGCACCAACCGCTCCCGGGCACACGAAAATGGAAAATATTGTCTACACACCACACCTGGGGGAGTTTTTGGGGGGGCATATCACTTGAAATTCCCGACGATTCCCTTTGAAGCATTTCGCCGTTTTGTACGCAAAATGTTGTTTCATAATTTTCATTCTGTTTTTGTTAAACGTGTAAATTAGAAAATACCTCAAATTCAAAAGGGGGGGTAGTACAGCAGGAGTAACAGGATATTTTACACACATTAATTAGAATATCAATGGAGCACATACACACAGAGTGTGTGTGTGTGTGTACAGGAAATGTCACCTTATTTGAGCAGAACGCCCAGGTCTCCCACGGCAGATGACTCGACTGGGCACAGACAAATAAATCACGGAGCCAAAAACGCCACACAAAACTGACATGACCGGACCAACCTACTACCAGGAAAATCCCAAAAGGAACTCAAACGAAGGAAAAGGAACTGAACGGAAGGGAAACCAACCAGATGCACATGCAACCGCAGGCAACTCGAAATGAACCCGATAGAGAGGTTCCACCCAGACGTGGTAGGGATGTGGAAATGGAAGACGGAGGCAACTCTCCGTTTGTGGGCTGGAAAATGATGTATGGATTTTTTAACGCCGCTGATTGTCTGCGCAATCGCCGGAGCCACATGGAGCCAGATATCCACGAACATCGAACAGTAGCCCCAGCTTGGATTCCCGGAGGTGGAGGAGGAGGACGACGAGATGAAGCTGAAGGCATCCATTGCATTTGGTAATCGGCGCCGCATGTGGGGATCAATGGACGGAATGATACCGCAGCGGACCAACATGTGCTCGAAACATGTTAATTTTACGTTAATTATAAAAATTGATTTCTGCCTATCTGTTGGGAGGATCTCAGGCAAAACTAATATATTAAAATCGTATTAAACAAGTAGAGATATTGTACTTGTTTAAGGAAATATATCATAGAGATGTCAAAGGATGACACATCCTTCTTTCTTTTCCAAGAAGCTTATAAGTCGGAACAGGGATCGGGATGGGTCTATATCCTATAGCTGCCTTTCATGAAAATGCAGATTAAAGAATGGGACTTTTTTCATAATCATCCAAATAAATTTCTATAAGGATCTATCAACTATATCCCATATTTTTGATATGTATGTATATCCTTAAATCCATATTCTCCTTACATATTCTTAATAAACTTAATGGTTCTATATTATAGACTCTAACGTTTCCTAGAGAAACAAGATATCTTACAATATTTCTATTCCTTTTCTTATAAAGTAAGGCAACTAGCTCTCACTTTTCTTTTAATATATTTAACTAAAAACCTCAATTGTCTAAATAATTTCGTGGAACCTCTTTAATTTTATTTATCCAATGCCCTCTTTACAGCCACCAATTAGCAGCCAATAGCGTTTGATCAAATTTACGAGCTGCACTCGGGCTGCCAAAGTACGTGACGTAACGGCCCCCTCAATTTATCCATCCATCCACCCATCCATAGAGTCATCTAGCCGTGGTGCAAGATTTTCCGCTTTTCCCCAAAGACTGGTAGATGGGAGAATGTTTTTATTTATATTTTGCGGCCAGTCACGCACATTCGCCGGCCATAAAGTGTCGTCGAGTCAAGTCAAAGTTCCCCCAAATTGGTAGGGCACCCACCTTCTGCCCCAGCACTCCTGCCACTCCAAAAATATATCCACGTGCCACACACTCTACACACACTCAGCACACTCCCAGCAGCATTCTTTTATTATTGTTTTCCCATCTTATTTATTATCCAACTTTGTTTCAGCGCCTTTTGTTAACATAATTTAACCGAATAGAAATTTGGAAAATTTGTTGCGCCGCCGCGATTCATGTTTATCTGGGGTGAAATTAATTTCCATTTAATAGGGCCAACGGACTTGTTGACACTAGGTTCTCAGTTGCCTATTTGTACCATGGGAGACTTATGGGGTCAGATTTGAAGAAATTGAGGGGCAGGAATAGCCACCTTTTTCAATGGAAGTGGTATTTGGGAGAAGTATTATAAGAAATCAAAAATGTAGTTTTAGGAGTTTGATTTTTAGGCGATTAATAGCCAATTTTATCCAAGGTCTAGTAAGTATTTATAAGAAATATTCGAAAAAACAATCACCTATAACATACAGATTCTATACCATTATCAGACCCCAATAGCTATAACTGAGTGAGGTGCTTTTGTAAGTCTGTCTAAGATAGATTTTATATTTTAAAATATCTAACTGTACAAGTCTATAAAGTAAAGAAATCTTTCTAAAGACTTTAAAATATTTAAGCCTCAATCCTTCTTTGTAATGAATATTCCTTATGTAATTAATAACATCTTAGCAGATTTCTGCAAATCCTTTTTAATAACTAAAAGTAACCCCATTTTGTTTACTTTCAGGATTACCTAACTCTATGCTGAGACCTTAAACATTATATTTTATTTCCTTTAAATATTCCTTTAAAAATACACCACTTACCCATCTAATTACCACACAATGTGGCGATAAACAAGAACAAATGCCATTTTTGTGGAGCAGAAACAAGAAAAGTGGGAACCTGAAAGGCAGGAAGGAAGTAGAGCCGCCAAAAACGGAACCATCTGTCCCAAAGGCGAAACTTGAGTGACAGAAATGGCAAAAGGACCAGAAGAAGCTCAAAAAGACACAGTAAAAAAAAGAAGCACCAAAGGACCAACAAAAAAGTTGAATTGAAATTGAAAGAGTGACCAAGGGAAGTTATTAAAAAGCGATAAACCCAGAGAGCAGAACGCATTTGGCGAATTGTTGAACACCTTGAGGGGGAACTCTACGCTCTGCGAGGGAATTATGGAATTCTTATGCTAAAATAATGGACCCACAACCGGCTACTGCAGCCGTTGCTGCCACGTTTAGTGGTTCATCGATCAGTAATAAATTTGTAAAAAAAAACAGAAGCAAACACAACAAAAAACAATACATGTCGCGCGTTTGTTTTATTTCTTTAATTCATGAGCAGGATCGAGATCGGGAATGGGATTGGGATCTGGAATGGATCTTTTTGGACCAACTGTTCATGGTCTGGGGAGTGAAGGTGAGTTTGCTGTTTCGACCAACTGTGCGATAAGTCATTGAAAGTCAATCATACATATGTGCAACACTCCAGCAGCTTCAAGCTCCAAGCCCCAAGACCCAGTCTTGAATCCCCAATCCCGTCCATCCGGTTCAAAGAGGTGCAGCAGTAGGTCCGACTTGCAACTGCAACCAACCGCCACAGAAGTCGCAGAAGTTTGGCGTCTTATTTATGACTTGTGCCACCACTTGGCTACTATCTGAGATTTGTGTTTTCATTAATTATGCAAGATTCCTTCTGGGGATTATACATACATACGTTTTGTTTTGATTTTTGGGGTCGGTTTCGGGTCGGTATTCTCAGTTTCTCTGTTCAGGATGATAAATAGCCCGAGATTAATAAGGCGCCTGGCTAAATGGCGTGGAAAGCATTCAAATTCGACGATTATGAAATTCGAGGTCTTATCTTGGGTTCATCAAAACGAAATCATTAGGCCCCAAACGATCCTAAAATATTACTTCCCTCCCGAAACACATACATATAAAAAACACATGTTAATATTTGATGATTGTATTCAAATTTTGTTTTTTTTTTGGTTTTTTTTTATTGAATTTTATGCTTGGCGTTTGTTGTTTTTTTTCAATTTGATTCTTTTTTTAACCTAATTTGTTTGAAATTTTTGCAAAAATTGAAGTTTAAACAAAATAAATTCTAACTTTGTTGTTGTGGTTTAAAGTTTGCTTTAACTATACAAGAAATGTCGATTATTAAACGTTACCAACGCTGATTACGAATAGCATTATATTATATATATATATATATATGTGTGTATATATATTTGTATATTTATATATAAGAGTGTATATAATCATTATTTGTATGTGTCTAAATTGCTGATATGGGATACTAAACTTAAAAGTCAAAATATTACACTGAAACAAAAGGTTTGTCAATGCGCGTTTCAAATTTGTTTACAAGTTGGGGGGCGATAAGCTTACGACTTCTATTTAAACGTTAAACTTTATTTTAAATTTAAATTAAATTTCGAAATCCTTTGCGTTTGTTATTGTTTTGCTCACACAGAAACACAGACTGCCATTGTAGCTTAAAAAGCTGTTTAATCCTGGCCCGGCTATTAGCCAGGCCTACACTGTATATTGGGGGGGAATCGCCTCGAATCCAAAAGCGATCGGATCTTGGGAGTTGAACTCGTTCCCAAGCCAAGTTTATACAATTATTGGTAGAGTTCTCTTCTTAGAACCAATACAGATCCTTGGAAGAATCCTGGACTTGCGCATCGAGTCCTGGAAAGAAAATGGTAATGGAAATTTTATATAACATATCCCTCAAGATGGGGCTTAGGTTTCTACTAACCTGCCATTGTGGGATAACTAGAGTACTCCAAAGCATGAGCCGTTTGCTGGTCGTGATGCAGCCTAAAAAACCCAAAAAATATTTAGAAAAACAACTAAATCCTGGCCAGAATTGGACTCACCTGGTGCTATGACTGGCATACTGCTGGGGCAGCCGGAGCAGGCTGCCGTACTGGGCCATGTTGTGGTGGTAGGCATGGGCGTGGGCTGCGTGCGCGTGCGCCGCGTGGGCATAGGAACCGTAGTGGGCTGCCGCATGCGGCACCCACGGATCGGTGGCATACCCAGTGTCCGTCGCCGTACCATACAAGTCGCTAACCTGCAAAAAGATCGGATTACAACTTATTTTAGAAGAAGAAGGTCTTAAGGAAGAAGGCTCTGGCCGGCGGAGACTCCTTGAAGTCGTAATTGCCTCCCGTATTGCAGTTAATCGTTTTGGATATCGGCAAGTTGCCCCCTGGTCTTGCCCCCTTGTGGCATTGTTATTGGTTGTGGCAGGAGTGGGCTTACCTGGTGATGTGTGGGCGCGGGTATGGGGTGCACGTAATTGCTGTTCCAGAACGACGGTGGGAAATTGCGAGTCGACATCGGGCTAGAGCTCTCTGTAAGTGGAAGACAGTGGAGAGGTATTAGTCTTTATAGATAACAAGGAGTACTCAGATCCCTGAGTAGATCTTGAATAAATATAGTATCTGAAATAATGGAGGATATAGCACCCTTTAAGATAAAGCAATCTTCCTCTACAGGCAATTGCCATTCACTTGCCACTGAAATGATTAACAAGGGAATGGGGCACATGCTCCTCCTTAGCCCTCTTTGTGGCGGCGCCATGGCCTGTTGCAAATAACTGAGCGGAATGTTTTCGGTTGTCGTTCGTGCCTCGTTGTCGCGCTCTTGTTCGGGATCATCACTTGTATTAAATGATTGTAAATCTACGCGTTTATGAAATCGCGCCATGTCCCCAGTCCCAGGCAGGAGCCAGGAGGCAGACTATGGCAAGACATCTCCATTATGTGTAATGGAGCTCCCACAGGAGCGGCAGCATCAGCATCAGCCGACAACGGCGGGGCAACCAAAAATAGCAAACCAATGGGGTAAAGATTGCAATTGAGCAGCAGATACCAAAAACTTGCATAGGCCTGCATTTGCGTTGACAACATTCCAAACTCGAATTCGAAAGAAAAATATACAACAACTGAACTGAACTGAACTGGAAGGAGATGGAGATGGAAGCTGTTGGTAGTTGGATGCTGGAGGATGTGAGGATAAGAGGATGAGGATGTGGTTGTGAGGATGTGTAATGTTTGTGCTTGGCTGCCGTCGCGAGTCGACAACTTTGGCCGGCACGTTGGCGAGTGTGCCATGCATGATGATGATGATTCGGCTGGATGCCGCATGGATGCCTTCACTGCGACTCCCTGCCTCCTTATTCTTGCCACGGCATCCACTGCAACCGAAACCAAAGCTCCAAAACCGAACCAACCATCATCATCACATCACATCCCAACGCCATTGCCATTCACTCACTCGCTCAGCTGAAACCGTGGAATTCCCATTAATGTGCAAACAAGCAAACTGCCAAAGATATTTTATTTTTTAGCTACTGCGGCTGCATTTCACTTTCAAAAGAGGTTTCAGTTTTGTATTTTTTGTTTTCGGCCTCGGCATCAGCTTCAAAAGCGAAAGCCGCAGTACCTGTTTCACCTTTCACCTCTTGGCCTAATGAAGAGGCTTACACAACAACCAATTTATGGCCCGATAAGGATAGGATCGCCCAGGAAGAACTGTCTCCATGGCTAGTCCTAGAACCACACTTCTGTATCTGTATCTGGCATGTGTATTTTGTATCTTTCGGTTGTGTTTCGGTTTCTGTTTCGGTTTCTCCTGCCTGCTGCGGGTGCCAAGGAATTTTAAATCGAATTCTTCGGGTATCTAATTAAATGTTCCTTTGCAGCAAAAGGTAGACTTATTTTATTTTATTTTATTTTTCAAAAAGAGCGATCGAGAACCCAAAGGCAGAAAAGAAACAGAGAGAAAAGTGCAAGCGTGCCACCGCGTCTTGGCTGATATCTCATCGTTGCATCTCCTCATCGGCTGCATGCCCCACCATCTCACTCCATACATGCAGCCCATCCATCTATACAATCTATACCGACAGGCGGACGGTTGGATTGTGTGGAGCAGTTAATTGAAATGCATTTTAAAATCGTAATGAGGAATCTATGCGGCATTCGGCATTGCCACCGTCAGACGAACCGCACTGAAACAACAACAACAGCAACAACAACTGCGGCAACCGCATCGCATTCCGGCGACATTTTATAGCACATTCCAACTATCTATCTATATATACATATCTGTATATATATTTGTTTATATAGCATATATAGACACGGCACATTGCAGTACGAATAAAAAAAAAAACCTATATAAATACTGAATACTGCTCTCTCCTCGCTCTGTGTGAAAAATAGACAAATGACCAAAATGAACTTTAAATACCATTAAGCAGCACGAACAGATAAATATATATCTATACAAACAACAAAAAATTGGGGAAAAATCTTTGCAAACTGTATTTAAGGGACAATTCTAAAATGGGCTATGTGTGCCACTAAGTAGCACTGTCTGGTGGCAACAGAAATGCCAAGAGCACCTTGTGGCATTTCAAATATTCGAAAAACAAGACACCTTAAGGCTGTTGTTTTTCTAGGGTTCCATTAAGGGTTCTATTAAGGTTGCATTAGTTGCAAATTAAAGGTTATCTCTTACTGTTTAATATCCTTTTAAAACCCCTTTTTAAACCAAATATCATTCCCCCATTTAATTGCCTAATTTTGATTTAAATTCTGGCAAAGCATTTCAGCGTAAATTCTCACTTAAACAGTGGCTGGAAAATTTCCAATTATCGCATAACGAATGGAGAATTGAATGGAAACTGAATGGAAAATTCGCACAAAGTGCTGGGCATTTTCTTCAAAGCAAATGAACAGGGCAACCGGGGGGGTAGAAGTTTTTGGGAAATGGCAGCCACAGCCACAGAAACTCAATAAAATCCCAGGCTTAACAACAATTGGCGGTGCCACAAAGTGGCAGGGGCAGGAGCTGGGGGCTGGAACTGCTTTGGGGGCAACTGAAAATCACCAAACACGTACGCAACATTAACATGACGATATCGGGCACCTGTTTGGCATTTAAATGCAAGGATAATTGATTGATTGAGCAATGGATGCAAATTAGGAAGGCAACAAATCATCATCGTAATTATAAATAAAGAAACATCTCTGCAGAGCTAAATATTCGCATATATTAAAAATAAAATCAGAAAACAAAAGGCCAACCGACACGAATGATATATACACACATGTTGTTGCTATATATATATATAGTGTATGGTACTATATAGTATATATATCTGCATCCGTGGAGCTGATAGACGGACAGGCAAAGCAGACAGGCATGAACAAACGAAACGTTTATCTTCATTAAAGGAGGTAATTAATTTTGAAATCGAAAGAACAAGCGAGTGGCAAGTGGCAACTTGATTTATATGTTTTATTGTGCGCCCCAATGGGTGTGCTATGGTGTGTCTTGTATTCTTAAATTCGTATTCTTAAATTCACAGACATTTTGCTTGGGGACCGGAGATAAACTGTCTATCTTTAAGTGACTTTAAATGCTACACAGGTTTATGCCAATGAGTGGTAAACAAAATTTAAATATTTTAAATATCTTGCGACTTGAATCGGAAATCTATATTATAATGATGATATGTACTTTTAAATACATCTAGATCTTGAGCAATTTCTGTTGATTTTTGCCAAAAATTGCTGAGAGATTTCAGAGTATCATAAAATGTATATTAAGTCCACTTGGACAAATTTATGATATTTTTCGCCATTGGGGAGCTTAAGAATTTTGACAAGATAAATTATACTCTTGAGGTTGAAGAAACCTGACTGAAAACAATTCAGAAATTGATCAAAATGGGCTTTAATTTGCTCTAAAAGAATAGTTTCCACACATTCCAGAGCCAGCCATAATTTGCCTGCTTCCGAGAACATTTTAATAACTTTGCTGGAACCGCTGGCGTATTTTTCACCTAATTATGCCGCCGCTACGGCAAAGTGCAGTAGCATGGGGCACTCTCCCCCCACATTTTGGTGGGGCAGTGCCGCAAATCGAGGCAAACACGCAAACTGACAGCCGGGACAAGTACATGACACGAGCGGGTCTTTGATCAAAACTTCCAGCTCCCCAGCACGCCCTACGCCGCAAATGAGTGGGGCTGGGATTGTAATGGAACGGGAGGCATGGAAACTAGCTGATTATCCCCACAAAATAATACACAAAAAAAAAGAACATTTTTCAACTCAATTATAGCCTCGAGATATGGAGGAGACAATGTCACCAGATTAGAATGTGTTTTTGAAATAATGGTAACCTTTCTAGGCCGCAGGCAGGGCGACTTTTGTGGAAATTATCTAGGGTGGAGTTAGGATTTAAGTGTTTGGGATTGTTTTTTAAGTTTTTAGCATTTTTTAAAAGATTTTTTAGAAGGCAAGGGGTTTCTACTGAAAGAGAGTAATATTTATATTAAAAAGGGTTTTACCAAACCTAGAACCTATAATAAGGTATAATGAAATCCTATAGAACCTTTAGAGCTTCCAGAACTCTTAGAACCTCTAGAAGATCTATACCCTGTAGAACCTTTATAACCTAAAGAGCATATATAGCCTTTAGAACCTAAAGACCCTGCTTACCATATATGAAAATATAACCTACATAAAAGTACAACTTAAAAAGCCACTTTATAATCCAAAAGTATCTTTGAGGTTCTGACTCCTAAAACTTAGAAACTTCTTTAAAGAATCCACTAAATTTTAAATATATATCCTGAATGAAAACTTACCTTTACTATCCTTGTTATTATAGTTGAGGGCGCGGGAGAAATGCTCGTCCACCTGGCTGGCAGTGTCCCCGGAATAATTGGAAAACACCACGCAGGTGGCCGAGAGATACTGAGCTTGTCCCTGGCTGCTGCTGCTGTTGCTGGCACCGCCACCACCGCCCAGCGACACATCCAGAGCGGGCAGTTCCTTGGGAATGGCACCTGTCCCGCCGCCGCCGCCTCCTCCTCCGCCACCGCCGCCACCGCCAATGCCCGTGGAACTCGTACCGCCCGCCGATGAGGGACCGCCCGTCGCTACGCCCACGTGTAACGAATGGCTGTGGGAGTGGGCGTGGCGCGGGGAATCCGGACCGGAGGAGCAGGAGGACTCGTTGTGATGCTGATGTAAGTGGGAGCCCACCAGGCGCGCTGGATTCGAACAAAAAATTAAAGAAATTGAATAAAGACTATTAAATAATTGGAAGTGACAGTGGCTCGCATAAAATATGAAAAAATTTATTAAATGCTAACTGTTGGGGAATGCGAGTGCCCCGTCAGCGATTTCAAGAATTTGCAAATTAATTAGCGACAAGTATGCGACACTCGCTAATGCCATCCCTCTCTAAAACACGGCTATTTCACTCTGGCCAAGTGGGCTGCCAAATTAAAAAAAAAAATCGAAAATAAAAAAATACTTATGCAACATAAACAATTGACATTGACAGCATCCGTGAAAGGTAAAATGTGGCAAAAAATTCATAAATTTCATCATGAAATCGGGTTTGTAGAGAGGTAACAGCCGTAGTGCTACTCTTGTAGGTTTTTTTTTAGTAAAAAGTAGTTTAAAGTTAATTATATTTTATTGTAGTTTAACTAATCTACTAATTTTGAGGACTTATAGCTTAATTTCAAAATAAAAGTCTAGGCGATTGTCTTTCTTAAGGAACTTTAAAACCAATTACATACGTTGGGATAGAAATAATCAAAATATTAAGGAGTTTTTTTGAAATATTATGAAGAATATTATATGAAAATGTCTGAAATTTAAATTCTAAATAGAAAAAAGTCATATATTTCAAAGTGAAATAAAAATTCTCTCAAATTTCTTAAGGTTTTTACTTCTAAAACCATAATGAGGATGAGATATACATTATTTCTTAATTAAGGTAAAAAAAAAGGTCTCTATCCTACAAAAATTATAATAAAAAGCTTTTAACTGACAATATCTCTTTAAAAATTAATAATTTATTCATAATTTAACTTAATTTATTAACATTTTTAAAAATCTCACCTTCAGCTTCGCTGCGCGGCGCGATGAGATCCTCTTCTTTGGTTTGGTGCGTATGCGTGTGCGTGTGCGCGTGGGATGAGTGTGAGTGCGGGTGCTGGTGTGCGTGGGAGTGGGAATGGGCGTGGCTGTGGCCGTGCGTCCGACTATGCAGCGAGTGTCCACCCAGCCCAGGACTCATGCCCAGTCCGGCGCTTCCTATGCTGCTGCTACCGGGCACATTGCTGCCGAGGAGACCGCCCGTCGCTCCGCCACCCATGCCCAGTCCGCTGCCACCCAGCCCACTGCCACCCAGTCCGCTGCCACCCAGTCCACTGGCTCCTAGGCCACCGCCGCCCAGCTGCAGGCCCGTGGAGCTGACCTGGTTGGCGGCCACCGCCACGGCCGCTGCAGCACTGTTGTGGGCCGCTGCCGCCACCGCCGCCGCAGCGGCATTGGCGCTCACCGAGGGCGGTAGGATGGGACTGCAGGGGGAGTGTGAGCTGCCGGAGGCGCTCGACGAGGCCGCCAAATTGACGCCCGAGGAGGAGTACAAATCCTGGTTGAACTGGAAGAGGTTTAAGAAGTATTTTATTAGAACAGGAATTAATTAAGAAATTTAAATATTAGGAAGAGAATAAATGGGGAAAAAGATGCTTCATTGAAGTTGCTTCCTAATTAAAATAATGATATTGGAAAGGATTCTTGTGGATATTTTAGACACAAGTCTCGGAAATTATTCTCCTTTTTATAATATTTTAATATTTTTCACTTAGTTGTCGAGAACTCAACAAAAGAGACTGTTTTTTAAGAACTTGTTAACTAGACGTTCCTAAACATTTTTTTCCAATATTTTCCCAAAAAGTTAAGATAATCTTTCTAGAAGCCCTAAGTTCTAAGATTTTTGTTTGTTAAACTGAATTTATAATGGAATTTGGCAAAAAAATATAGGTAATTCAGAGATAGAACTTCAAAAAATAAAAATTAATTAATTAGAAGAAAGAACATTCCCAATTAACTAAAACTGATACTGCAACTATATATAGTAATATCAAACTTATAGTTTCCAACCACATATGTATATTACCTATATCTCTGAGTTTTCTCCAGAAAAATATTTATAAATGATATGGTAATATTTAATATTCGAACTCTTTACAAAGGCCGATAAGGTGGGCAATATCTGTGCTAAGTAAACTCAGAAGTAACTTGTTCTCTTCAAGACCCCTGAGATACTTGACTCTCCTATTGTATACAATAATAAGCTTCACAAGATATACACCATAAGATCTCCTAAGCGGATTCCCAAAAGCCCAAAAGAATTCCCCAACTAAACCCTTTTTTTAAGAGCCTTTCAAGTACACCTCCAACTCTCCATAGCTATACGATTCACTAGATATATAGTATAGGATCTCCTAAGCGGAATCCCAAAAGGTCGGGCGGGAAGCGAAGGTGTCGGGCGAGTAATGAGTTATGAGACGCGTTGCAGCAAATTGAAAATGACACAATAAGAAAATTTATGTTGATGGAAAATGCGAGCCAGGGCCATTAAATTTACGACCGTTTGGCGCATATTATCACGGACTCAGCCAAGGTTGCTATACTTCCAAATGGGTCAAGGGGGAAGACGAGTGTGGATGGGGGAGTAGGAAGTGGAGAGTCTGGAGTAGGAAGGTGGCTGGAATAGGATTGCAACCAAAAGACGATAATCACGCCACAATCTTAGGCGCTTAGCGGAGTGTCAAACATAATGCGGAGCTGGCGACGATTTACGACCAACACCTTCGCCCCCTTTGGCACTCTGCCTTCACCCCCCAACCACCTAATGAGCCCATTAGTGAGGCACCCTAGCCATAAGTGGCAGATAACCCCGCCATGCAACATTTGGAACCGAAAATGTTTTCTAAATTTAAGAATAAACTGCCAGTGGAGCGAGGCAGCGGGCGACCCTTTCCACGCTCACTTTTCCAAAGGCACATGCCAATTATTATCGGCATGGTGTCTCAAGGGTTAATAATGGGTTAACCGGGCACGAACCATTTGAAAGAGTGCATCCATCGACAGGGGCTGAACTGATTTACGATCATCTTGAAGATACAACAGCTGGTCGGGGCAGCTTGTTAGCAGCCGCCTTTGGAGACTTAATTAGAGACAGAAACGCTGAATCAGCATGGCCTCAGCGTAATAGATACAGATACAAATTGATTGAGATACACGCGGTGGAAGCTGCAAAGCTTCATCTTCATCAGATACACTTGCCGCCAGAATGCGGCAGATCGAGTATCTGCATCTGTCACCTGGCTTAAGCACATAATCAATGCGTTCCGCCTTATCGGCCAACACTATCAGGCCAAATTGGAGGTTGGGGCATTGCGAATCCCTGGCGGATCGGGGACTAAGGACATCCAGCAAGTGCAGTAGCGTAGGAGAAACAATGCCCAGATACAAAAATGCCCTGCAGCAGGCCACATCTGAGAGTGTATCTGCGCTTTGTATCTGTATCTGGTGCAGTGGTGTTATTAGCTGCAGGCGATATGTCGGTTATGCCGAGCAGTCAGTCCGCCGATCACACGGCATAAATCACCGAACGGACCAGACGAACCAGAGACAATTTTTCGAAGACCCATATAGCTTTTTTTCAGGCCTGTTCGTTGTATAAAAGGCACTGACAAAAAATAGGGATTTTTAAAAGGAGGTTGAGAGGTTTAAAACCTAAAAAGGAACTAACTGAATCTTTGTTATTGATTTTAGAGATTATTCTTAAGATATTTTATATATTTTTCATAAACCTTTATTTAAAGTGTAAGACTCTCTTTGGTTTATCTTCGATCGGAACCGTGTCGGTTGACAAAAGGCCCCAGAATCGGGATCGGGATGGTTATGTTATGGCATTGGCAGACCCGCCAGCCAGATCGGCAAGAACTAATGGCGATACACACAATAAATTAACCGAACGGGAACGGGAACGAGATCGGTTCATGGGTTTTGTTTGTTTTTCTGATCGTCTGATCGCTTCTGGCCAACAAAGTGTCGAAAAGGGCGGACAAAATTGTGCGTTTTGCGTTCTGAGGAGAAAAAACAAAAAGCCCAAAAAAGCCAAATAAACCGGTCATCCAGCTGAAGCTGCTGACTCAATCTGCGATTGGCCTGGTAGCTGAGGTAGTTTTTTTTCAGCCTGGCTAAGGCACACAAATCCAGGGAGAGGGTTTATCTCGGAACCTCTTTATGGGCATGCAAAAGCATAGAATCAGAATCGTGTCGTATCGGTTACTTACATAAAAGGCCAATTTCGATTTGGTGCCGCGGCCTTGTATAATTGGAACTTGCGACACAAGAATTTCTTTGTGCCCCAGCGACAGTGAGACTGGAGAGTCTCCAGTCTCATCCTTCGGACTCGGATTCGGATGGTTTTTGGCCCTGACCAGCCCATGGTCTTGACCAGCCAGACACAGTGGACCAGCCATACGGATCAGAGCCCTTCGCTGGCTGGCATCGTGAGAACTTTTCTGTACTTGTCACAGAAATCACAGTGAAATCTTCGAAATCAATGTTAGCAAAAAGCAGAGAGAGGCGAACAAAAGGCCCCAAACATTGGGCCGAGGAATTCCTTGAAATGTTTGCCTTTATTTCACCCGTTTTTGTCAGCTTTTTTTATTGTTTTCGGGTTACCCAAATCGATTTGCGTTCTGCGTGAATTCTTATGATTTGTTAGAAGCGTCTAATTATGCAGTCCCCGGGTCCCGGGCCGGGTCGAAACAAATTGACGAGAGACATGGTAGCAGGACAGAGCCACTGGTAGCATCCCACCACTTGGCTTTTGGCAGTTGGCCTTGGCAAGAAGAGAGCCATCAATCAGCCGGAGGATGCTGTGGGTTCTAGGATCTAAAGGGACCATGACTCATCGCTACTTTCCTTTTTTAAGGGAATTCTTTAAAATGTAGATACCTTCTTTTTGGGGAAAAAAGTTTACACTTTCTTGCTTTTATTTCTTAATTTGTTTTTAAAACAAATCTTTTAGAATTTGTAGTACTCTTGAGTCTTATAATGTCTTTAAATATACTACTATTAAGCCTTTAAATAAATTTTAAACTTAATCAAACTATGTAGTTTAAACCAAAAATGCTTCAAACTAATTTGGCTTGAACTGGCATTGTAGTTCTTCGATTTTGGTCATTTTTGACACCTTTTTTGCTTGTAATTGCCACTAAAATCGTTTTAGCCAGAGTCTCGGTAATCGTTGTCAAGCCACAATATTGGCAACAAAACTTTTTTTGAGCTGGTTTTTTAGGAAAAACTTGGTTTAATTTTATTTTAAATAAAGGAAATTGTTTAATGAAGATTATGGAACTTTTCTAAGGATTTTTAGTTAGGGTTTGCGTACTAAAACGAGACTATACTTGCAATTTCTTTCGTCTCTTCCTAAAAATGTCTTGTTTTAAACCAATAACCCTTAGACCTGTGGTATATCTTAAAAGCTAGAAGATATAGAAGAAGGAAACATGTCTAATATTTTATCTTTTTTTATGGAAAAAATGTTAAGAAGAGAGTTCTCCGACTTCCTAGTTAAGGCCAAATACCTAGGTTATTTTCCACATTTTCAAACTCTTTGAAAAAAGGTTACTTAAAAAATACTTCCTAACATTATAGACATCTAATATTGAGTCTCAACAAAGTTTTCATTTATCCCCGAAAATAATTCTTAGCAGTTGAAGAACTAGAAAATAGTAAAAACCATAAATAGACTCTAAAAAAATAGTCCGTACTCACCCTTTCATATTGGTAGAATGAACGACTTGGTCCTGCGCGCCCGTACAGATATGGATAGTAGGCACCGTACATAACTTCGGGGCAGGACACTGCCATCGTCGCAGTGGCAATCGCAATAGCAATTGCAGGCTATAGGCGGTTCACTCACAACAGGACTCGAATTAACAGGATACGCGATTACAGGATACAGGTTACAAGGATTATAAATTAAGGATTACGTTTATTGTTATGGAAAGTAATCACAGTTTTTTTTTGTTGTAAATTGGTATTAGCACTTGTTTTGTGAATTGTTTTGTGATTTAAGCCAGAAGCCTCTCTCCAAGCTGCGATAGAGACAGACAGCTAGATGGAGAAAGAGAGGGAAGTCTGAGAGGGAAAAAAGCCTGAAGTAATTAAAAAACCGGCTAGCGAGTTGAAGCGTGTTTTTTATTGGTAGTAGTATGCCGTATTATAGATAGTAGATAGTATTTATTTCTTTTGTTGGCTGGCGAAATTCCAGGAATGAAAACTCCGCTCGGCTAATTATATTTACATATTGTAAGACACCATCGCGTTTGTATCAAGAGCTATAATTGCTTTTCGTCTTTTTGTTATTTTTTTTTTTTTTTTGTAATTTTTGTTAAACTTTTTTTTTTTGCTTTTTGCAGAAACTCCCCTTGTTTCTCTTCAACTTTCTTCACTGGTTTTCTTTGCTTTGTTCGCTTGTGCAGGCAATTGCAATTATCATTTCCACATTGTTGATTGCTGTTAGTTGTTTTTGTAGCTTTGCTGTTTGTTGTTTGTTTTTTTGTTGAATCTGAAGCCTGGCTTTTGTTTTCTGTTTTATGTGGCCATTCCCTGTGGCGTTGGAACGTCAATTTCGTTTCTCATCCGCGTTTCCGTTGAAGAATCACCAACACTGCAACGAGAGTGGAGACGGGGGCATTAACAATTTGCTAATTGTTAAAAAAAAATGCATAGCTGAAAGCCAATTTCTTGCATTTATGTAAAAGAGAAAAATAAATACAAACAAAGGCAACGAGCCAGCCCACATTTGTGACCGACTTTATTCATGGGAAGCAATTGCATGTAAAAGAGCCATGAACGCCATTTCAAAAAACTAACACTATCTAAACGAGCTTTCATATTAAAAATCAGCGAAAATAAATATTAATGATAACAGGGCGCATACGTGATGTGTAAGCATTTCAAATATTCACAATGAAAGCTCGAATAAGTAGGCAATAGTTTGCCGACGGTTAACAGTTAAATGGTGTTTATGCCAACTATTTTATAGAAAACTTGTAGTTTTTAACGAAAAAAAAATAATATTTAAGGATTAAATCATTTTATGTCATAAAAGATAATATTTATATATCTATTTAAAGCATTTTTTATTAACTTTGTTCCATTTTTCTTGATTTGTTGAAGGATTTTATACTTTTTTGTCTAATATTACAATTAATGTTCTTGAAAACAACAAAAAAAAAAAGAACGCAGACCTTAGATTTTATAGTTGATTGGAATTTAGAACAAAAATAAAGGTTTATTTTTTAAAATAATATAATTTTAATTGTAATTACGATATACAACACTTTTTTCTTACACCAGGTTTTCAATTTTTAATGTTCCTGAAGGTTTACAATAATATAATACTACACAACAAAATATATGTGTATAATTTCAAATTTAAATAGTATATCTAAGTATATCTAAAACAGACTGTAAACATTAGAAATTGATTTTCCAAAAAAAATCAAAAAAATTTGTAAAGTTTTGTACATAAGATTTTTGTACACGTCCGACGGAAGTTCATCTGAAATGTATCCAAGTTTTCGGTCAAGAATCTAACTATTCTATAAAATAAACTGTAATCTATATACACCTATTGTATATTTGCAAGATTTTTGCAAGATTTTTCTATTATTTCGTCGTAAGTTTATCTGAATTGTACCCAAGTTTTCGGACAAAAATCCATCTGTTCTATAAACTATAATCTATCTAGTTATTTTGTATAAAATTCTAATAACTCAATAAATCCTATACTATACTATAAGTAAAGAAAACTAAAACCTGATTTGCCAGACAAAAGAAATAGAATCTCTATAAATATTATGTAACTTGTTGACCTATTTAAAAAACAAGTGAAAATTGTTTATTTTCATCACTCTTTTCAAGCATTTAAAAGAACCTGTTTTTACAATTGAAAATTCTACTTTTCTATAGCGCAATTCCAAGTTCCATTCTAACTAGTTTTTTAATTGGACTTTTTCCCCTCGGCTATTGATCAACTTACCACTTGAGAGTTTGTTTTTTAAATATAATCCAACAAGATTCCCAGTCGTCATATGTTTTTTTGATTTATTTATTTATTTAACTAGACACTTTTTTGATTTTTTTTGGAAAATATTCAACAAATTCACAAATATTTGACTTTAGATTTGTTTGAATTAAGGCGGGACGATAAGCGTTTTGTTTTGGGGCCGTTAATTTGAATAGTAATTAGAATTATAAGCGCTGGGAATTCGCACGTGAATATTTGAGATTTTGTCGCAGCTTTTTGTGCATTTTATTTTTATCCGAGTCGGTGGACGACTGCTGGCAAACATTTGCTCGGCGCACTCAATGAAAATATTTTCGCTAAATCCACAAAATGCCAAATTCCATAAATTCTTGGCGGCGCGAGAGAGCGAACACGGCCAATACGACACGCCGAGTCGAGGATACGGAGGAGAGCACGGGCGGGGTGGCAGCGTCTAGTTTGCGTCTTGCAGTGTGGATGCCACTTGCCAAAAAACAAATGAACTGCACTTGCCGCGATCGCTCACTTGATTTATTTTAAAAATATTACGCTTTGCTCATTTCCCGTAGAAATCGCGTACGGAATCAAAATCGAGAAGCAGATGAAACGCGAGAGCTGCCGGCTGCCGCTCAATTGGAAGAGACAAAACAAACTGGCTCGATTCGAATTAACGGCCCAGCTCTGAGCACTGGGCAGCGGAAGCGGCAGAGCAGCTGAAAACAAAATGGCAATTTCCAATGCCTGCCGTCTCGGTTGCACACCCTCGCCAGAGCGAGACGACTAGTGTGGTCGGCTCGACGACTCCGCCCACGAGATGCTGCTATTTCCGTTGCTGTTGTTGTTTCTCAGCTAACGATGCCACATCGGTGTGAAAATAAAATGGAGTGCGTCTCAATTGTGTCTTGAAGTAGACGAAACGGAACTCCTCCGCACGCCACAATTTCACATATTTGCGACTGGGCCTGTGCCCTGCCTTGGGTCTGTATGGGCCACGTCCGATTTTAAAGTTCGCCTGCCGATATGGCTGGCACAGAGTACATAGCGCACGGAGCAGATTGCAGATTGAAAGGAATTCGCATTCGCCTCGAGTACGGGCTTTCGGTTCGTCCTTTTGTTCTGAACCGAGAAGTATGCGCCAACTGTGTCAACAGTGTTTGCAGTGCCCCGCTAGCCACCCTCTTCCGGCTCGTAGTTGTCCTCGCAGCGTGACGTATCCGTATTGATAATAATCTGATTGCAAATGAATACAATTTATTGTGGTGTTTCTCGATGTGCTTGTCGGTACTTATATATCGCTTCTGACTCTCAGTTGACAAGGTGCTTCTTTAATTTCTGCATTCGAGTTTAGTGCTTTGCAGGAAGTCGTGTTGGAAATGAAAAATTAAGGAATTTCAGAAGAAAATAAAGTTTAAAACAAGGTTCTAAATAAATTAGTTTTTTGAAATTAGCTTTTTTTAATAATGGGAGAGTATTTTGAAAAAATGGAGGAGCCAGGAAACTCTTTCCGCATTCTTACCCCTAAAACTATGCTACAAATTTTGAAATACTTCAAAGTTCCCCATATCTGTATCTAATCTTTGTTCAAGCTTTAATTTCACGCCCCTTTCAATATTATTCATCCAAAGAGAGAAAAACAATACCAATTACAGTACAAACACGCTGATATTTATTTTTTTTTTTACGATTTCCAATTAGATTTGACTCTATGCAGTCTTCTCATACAGTTTTTCTCGTTGTTTTACAACTCTGCGGCATGTAAGTCTTAAGAAAATGGGGAAACACACGTGGTACGCATAAATTAGGAGAATTGGGAGGCTTGGAAAGTCACAGGGAAAGTAAAACGAAAGTTTCATCGAATTTAATTCACATCTAAAGAGTAGAGTTGTTTAACGATTTCGCATTTTAAGGCGTTAACCGCTTGGGATCACGTGGGAACATTGAAGTCTTGCGGATGTTGTCCAATCCCAGATACAGCATAACCACACGCTCCATGCCGATGCCGCCGCCAGCATGGGGAGGACATCCGTAGCGGAAGGACTCGATGTAAGCGGCAATCTTGGATGTATCTGAATGGGGAAAACATTAAAATTCATTAGAGACGGGAAATTTTCCACGACACTCAAGATAAAAATCGATTGCAAGCAGAAACAAATAAACATTATAAAGTACACTTACCGATTCCGTGATGTTTGGCTCGCTCAATTAAGTACTCGGGATCGTGGATACGTTGCGCACCGGACAGTATCTCCTCGCCACGCATGAACATATCGTACGAGTTGGAGTAAACGGGGTTGTTCGGGTCTGGCATCGTGTAGAAGGGTCGTATCGCCAGCGGGAACTTGTCCAGGATGTAGAAGTCAGTATCGTATTTGGCCTTCACTAACCGACCCAGCAGCTTTTCGTTTGGCGTCGACAGATCCTCTTCATCGCCAGTCTCCACTCCAGCCTCGCGCAGCATGGCCACGCCTTCGGAGAACTGAAGGATCAGTGGCGGCTCCAGGAACTTGAAGGCGTCCACCTTGTACTGCTGGCCCACAGACTCGATTTCGCGTGCATACTTGTCGCGCAGTCCCTTGAAAATGGCCGTAAACGTATTTCCGATCGTGTGAAGTACCTCGTGATAATGGTATTTGAATGCCATCTCGAGATCGAGGCCCACGAACTCAGTCAAGTGCCGATGCGTGTTGGAGTCCTCCGCCCGGAAAACGGCGCCCACGGTGTACACCTTATCGAAGTCGGCAGCAATGGCCATCTGCTTGTACAGCTGCGGTGACTGCGCCAGGTAGGCCGAGTCCTTGAAGTAGCTGACAGTGAACACATTGGCACCTCCCTCGCTGGCCGCCGAGATGATCTTGGGCGTGTGGATCTCGGTGAAGCCCTGCTCGGTGAGAATGTCGCGGAACAGACGGCACACGCCAGCCTCCAGCCTGAAAATGGCCTGGTTGGCAGGAGTTCTCAGATCTAGTACTCGGTTGTCCAAACGCGTGTCCTGGTTGACGCGAATGTTGAGTCCATCGTCCTCGGCGTTCTCTGGCCGGGAAGCATCCTCGATTTGCAGTGGCAACTGAGCCTTGGCTTGGGAAATCACAAAGATTTGCTCGACGGACAACTCCAGCGATTGCTCCGTGCAGGATTCAATCTTGCTGGCCACAGCCACAGCTTTGGCCTGAATATCGATGATGCTCTCCTTGGGGATACTAAAAATAAAGGTTGGTTAGCAGCTTAAAGGCAGGAAGCCAGCAGGATGAGACTTACTTTCCAGCAAACTTCACCATCTGCTTGGATATGATATCGCCAACTGCCAGGATGCACTGGACCGTGCTGCTCTGCTGGCGCAGGATAAGGAAGCATTGCTTTCCCTTGGCACGCGATGTGTGAACGCGACCTCGCACCCAAACCAGTCCCTTGCCCACCTGTCCACTGAGCTCCGGCACTGGGACAAAGTTTCGCTCGCTGCGCTTGTCCTTGGACTGGATCATCTCCGAGAGACCATAGCGACCGGCGGCATGATCTTCGGCACCATCGCCGCCTGCATTTTGAGCAGCAGCAGCGGATGCGTTCTCCGCTTTCTGCTCGGCTTTCTGGAAAGATAGATTAGAGCTGTTATCACGGATTTTCAAAGAAAACAAATCACGCCACGTCCACAAATAGGACAGAATCTGTAGTTACCTTGGCGGCCTTGGCTTGCTTCTTGGCTCCCTTCTTGGAGACCTGCTCTCCCACAGGCACGTTCTCCTTTTCTTCGACCATCTTGGAATGCACAAAAACGGCTGTAATATAGACGTAGATAAATACATCGGTTAATGGAGGGTCACAAAACAAGCCCATAAACCGCAGGTTCTGATAAGCAACAGGCGATGGGCGAGGGAAGTGGGATGGGAACCGGTTGCGTCACGGTTTTTATAAATAGAACCTCCCAGATGAAGTGTCCCATTTGCGAATAAGTGACATTGGCTTCCGGTTGCAGTTCAGTCACCCGAAATTCGCCCACGACCCCCCATATGCCCGGAGATTCGAATCCGGGGTGAGGGATTCTTTGTCAAGCGGCACACGCACATAACCTATACCCCGTGGCCCCTTTAGCCGATGATTTGAGGAGTGTCCGGACATCTACCTGTTGATTATTTTAATTGTTCACTCGAGTGCACTCCACTTACCAGTTAGCTGTTGCCCTTTTAATACACAAACGAAAAGATTTCACGAGCGTCGTGGACTATTGCAGCATGCCAGCGCAGTTCGATGCAGCCTGGTATTTTATAGTACATTTCCGCAGTTCTATCGATAGTTAGCATGTTTTGAATTTGTGACGTCACTTATTGCTTGTTTATTTTTAATATTATTTTATGCTAGAAATAGAGGGATTTTTATACAGATTAATCTTAAACGTATTTTCTATTAAAATAAGTTTTTATTTCATATCCAAACTTTTTTTTAAATGTTTTAAATTCTTTCAAAGTTATCGACTACATTACATTCGATAAGTGGTCTAAGTAGGCACATCTCTACCTTCACTTTCGGAGATTAATCCAGAAAAAAACAAAACCACTTTGTTTATTTAGATCAGTCCTACGCACTTCAGAGGTAAATAATTACACTAAGTGACCTATTTCAGCAAATAAAATTGGGTTGTCCTTTTGAAATTAATTGTATTGCGGTTCTTCCCCGGTAATTTCGAGAATTGTTCAATAGAGTGAGTCACCGTTTTTCAGGCAAATGTATTATTTGTGTATGTATTATTTACGTGTCGGTGGTCGCTCCAGCTGAACCAATTTCATAGCTGCGACTAGCATTAAACGTGTATGCTTGTGGTGTGTAGGTGAAGATGTTAAGCGGCGATTGCCTTTTAAAGACCAATACCCCAACCTCTGTCAAAGCTCAGAAGGCACGTCATTTTCGCCACAAATAGAAAAACTTTCAATGAATTATGCGAATGCTTCGAGGCACTACGCAAGTGCCAAATTGATGGATAATTAAAGTTTCATGTCTAAGTGAAACTCTTGCTCTGACCCCCGACCCATGTCTATTGTAGCTAATTTAATTAGTCCGGCAAACAAACAAACACTTAGTATTTCTTGTCATCTCTCTACTTTCAGGTAAATTCTTATTAAGCCAGGTGCAGGAAAAATGCAAGGTGAGTGCAAATGGCAGAGCCAGACTAACAGAAAGTTTCTTGGGTCTATTCCACAGCGGTATCTGATTTAGCAAGTCCCAAAATCCCAACAGAACAAGGAACGCCCACCTGCGAGAATGTCCTGGCAAAGTGTCCCCCAGTACCCCCAGTACCAAGGTTTATTCAGTTTTTTTTCTTAAAAGCGTTCTTTCCTGGTTACAATCGCATGCTTCTGTCTGTCCCCTGGGAACTGTCTCTGAGCGGTTTCCAAAAGCCACAAAATCTGAATCATTGCCATCGTAATAGCTCTGTATATTTGTTCTCAGTACCCCCCTTATCATGGTTGAATGTATTTGCTGAAGAGTACTTGTGGATGCTTGCTTGCTCGTTTTTCTCGCATTTCCATTCCACGTTTCCGTTGTGGACCGGAGCGAATCATTTGTACTTTTCAGTGCTCGGTAGAAAGATTGCGTTAGAGGAACTTAGTTCATATTCTTGTTTTACAATCCAACTAACACCATGTACTCATCCTCAGACCCCAATCAGCAGTACAACTATGGAGGAGGTTATCCTCCCCAAGGCGGCTATGGAGGCTATCCGCCACAGGGCCCGCCCCAAGGGTATCCGCCATACGCCCAGGGAGGCGCACAACCGTATCCACAGGGCCCCTACGGACAGCCCTACGGCCAGGGGCCACCGCCGGGCGGGTATGCCCCTCAGCCGGGATTCATTCAGCCACCTCCCCAAGCGGGTGGCTATGGAGCTTACGATGATCCCGAGAGTCAGCCCAAGAATTTCTCTTTTGACGACCAGAGCATCCGACGCGGATTCATCCGTAAAGTGTATCTTATTTTGATGGTAAGTTGATGAAAGGGGAAGTACAATAATTGTTATTTTTTAATAAAATATTGATATTTTTATAGGGTCAACTTCTGATTACTTTTGGAGCCGTTGCCTTGTTCGTTTTCCACGATGGCACCAAGCAGTTTGCTAGGAACAACATGTGGCTCTTCTGGGTATCCCTGGGAGTTCTGTTCGTGACCATGATCTGCATGGCCTGCTGCGAGAGTGTGCGCCGCAATTTCCCAACCAACTTCATATTCCTGGGTCTGTTCACGGCTGCACAATCGTTCTTGATGGGAGTCTCAGCCTCTCGCTACGCTCCTCAGGAGGTGAGTACCTTGGTTTCAGGAGAGGATGGGCAGAAGTGAAAGTTTACCTTTTTTTGTAGGTACTCTTGGCTGTGGGCATAACGGCTGCGGTTTGCTTGGCCCTTACCCTTTTCGCCTGGCAGACCAAGTACGATTTCACCATGATGGGAGGCATTCTAGTCGCCTGCATGGTCGTGTTCCTCATCTTTGGCATCGTCGCCATTTTCATCAAGGGAAAGATTATAACACTCGTGTATGCTTCGATCGGAGCTCTGCTCTTCTCGGTGTACCTTATCTACGACACCCAGCTGATGATGGGCGGGGAGCACAAGTATTCGATCAGCCCCGAGGAGTACATCTTCGCGGCCCTCAACCTCTACCTGGACATTATCAATATCTTCATGTACATTCTGACTATAATTGGGGCGTCGCGCGACTAAGCACCGCAGCTCTATTTCCAAATATTGTTTACAGTTTACAACCGGGATTAGCTTTAGCCGGAATATGAATACGAATGTTGTTATGCGTAATCTCATCATCGGTATATACACCTTCCTTCCCAGTGAAGGGTACTCTCCAAACTAACGAGTCACTCAAATACCTATGATCTATCTATTTCGCGTTGTGTTTGCCTATTTCCGGTTTCCTTCTAGTTCTAAATGTCAGTTAAGGTCTAAGGAACTTACTTGCTTTTCGTTATATATTTGTGCTTAAGTTGATGTCTGAATATTAAGGATATTTTCTAAATTCTAAAGAAAAAAGAATAAATATGTAATACGTTTACCAAATGATATGCCATTCAAAAATACACAAAATCAACAATAATAATAATATATTAAATCGATATTTATGTGAGAATATATGTGCAACCTGGCTTGCCGTTGTTAAAAACAAAATAGTAACACAGTTTATGGAATTCCCGATTTACGAATGAAATACCGAACATTGTAACGCGTGCAGCGACACTGAGTTTAAAGTCAACAATAAAGTGCATCTATTTATTAAAGCCACCACAGAGCTTGGGCATTGTGGGGCTTCCTGCTCTGGTTCATCCACAGTTCAGCCACTAACCTCCAGATGCAACTTTAGTCTTCAGTTGGAGAGCAACGCCGCCGGTTGCTTGGATTACTTTGCCAGCATTATCAGATACCTTTCTGCTTTATCGTTTCATTGGTTTACTTTGTTATCTCGTCACCACCACTGTTTTCGGGGAGGTGTTTTAATTTTCGGGTTGGCCCCTGAGTTGGTTAGTGACCTGGCCACCTGTTTTCAGTAGTTCGTGTGAATTCCAGCAAGGCGTAGCCGTAAAATGTATCACTACCAGCAGGGTGAGTACTTAGCTAAACCGAACGGACAGAGAGGCTTTAGATTAGATAATCGATTTGGTTTATAGCCAGCTGAAATTAAGAGTTCTTTACGCTATTTTGGCTTTTGAAATGATCGAGAAATGAGCTTATATACGGTCCTCTCTGGGCCCAATTGCAATCCAATCTGATAAGACAGCTGGAATTGTGATTCACTTTTCAAAGTAGTACTCTCCTACTTTGCGTGGTGGCAATATCACTTACTCACCCAAACATGGCCCAGGTATATATATATATGTACCTTATCTAGAGTGAGAGTGTGGGCTACCGATAACGGACTGGCTAATCTGCAGTCGGCGGTTGTGTGGAGACACCTGGAAAGGGCGATTTGGAGCAGCCGACCATCGTCATTAAGCCATTCCACTCGCACACAACCGGCGGCCGGGCGGTGAAAGATCCCTGAAATCTATATTATTTAGAAGCCATATCGATTTTTAGTCATGAGCAGCGACAATCACTTTCAGTACGGTTAGTCATGGTTTTAATTCTTGTGTCTCCTTGATCTGTCTTCCAACCACACAGGCGATGAAACCGGGACATATACAGATGCGGAGGCCGACAAGAGCTTCGCCTTCGATGACCAGAGCATCCGGAAAGGATTTATCCGGAAGGTTTATCTCATATTGATGGTGAGTTGTCAACTTCAAGGAGTGGAAAATTCTACAACATTTAGTCATTGATTAGGCTTTTTTTTTTAACTAGCTAATGTTTTATTTTTAAATACTTTAAAAGCTTAAAATGATGTCTATTAATCATATAATTTAGGGGATATTTCATTAAAAGGTTTAAATATTTATGTTTTTCCTTTTTTTGTTTTAATCTTTATAACTCATAGTCGTGGTATATAGCATCAATTTCTCTGAGTGTATATTTAATCAATTCCATTGATATTGTTTCTATTTTTAGTGCCAATTGCTGATCACTTTCGGGTTCGTTAGTGTTTTCACGTTTTCGAAAGCCTCGCAGGAATGGGTGCAAAAAAATCCCGCCCTCTTCTGGATTGCTCTGGTAAGTTATATAAGTTTTAAAATATTACTTCCTAAAAGGTCTATCAGACCTTTTCTAAACCTTTAAAATGATTAATAATGCTTCATTATTTATGGCTTAAAATGTAATCAAAAATGGCTACTAACTAGTATGGCTCTAAGATTAGTTAGAATCAGAATTTAGAATTATGATTTGGTTAGAATCTGGTAATATTTTGCTTAAAATGTAATAATACTTTCAAATAAACTCTGTTTTTAAGGCATTATATGTTTAAACTTAAAAGTATAAATAGATATATAGAACTAAAGTATTTTTAATAATTTACCTTTGAAAATCTTAACCTACATGAAAAAAGAAAACTTTTTAAAACTTTAATCTTAAAACCTTCTTATCATTTTACTAAACAAAAACTATAATGTACTGCTATCTTTCGAAAAGGTACTAGAGATTTAAAAACAATTGAAAATATATGTACTTACGTAGAGATAAAAGTTTTAACAAAATGTTATATACTACAATCTCTACCTACATTTTAGCTCTAAAACATTAAAATATTTGTTTATTAATATTAAAAAATATATATTTTTTAGGCGGTTCTTATTGTGACCATGATTTGCATGGCCTGCTGCGAGAGCGTGCGCCGAAAGACACCCCTGAACTTCATCTTCCTGTTCCTGTTCACCGTGGCCGAGTCCTTCCTGTTGGGCATGGTGGCTGGCCAGTATGAGGCTAATGAAGTGCTCATGGCTGTGGGCATCACGGCTGCAGTGGCTCTGGGCCTGACCCTGTTCGCCTTGCAGACCAAATGGGACTTTACGATGTGCGGCGGAGTGCTGGTGGCCTGCCTGGTGGTGTTCCTCATTTTCGGCATCGTTGCCATCTTCGTGGAGGGCTCGGTGATCAGCATGGTGTACGCCTCCCTTGGAGCCCTGCTCTTCTCGGTGTATCTGGTGTACGACACCCAGTTGATGCTGGGCGGCAGCCACAAGTACTCCATCAGTCCCGAGGAGTACATCTTCGCGGCACTGAACCTCTACCTTGACATCATCAACATCTTCATGTACATACTGGCCATTATTGGGCTGAGCCGCAATTAAACAGGCGTAGGCCGATCCGTAGTTCCCATTACCGATTTAGGAGATACATCTATGTAACTTATTTTTTACTGAGCCACCTTGGGCTGAAATAAAGAACGACGAAAAATATAAACCTACGAAGGCGAGAGCTCGCTTTGATTTGAAACTGGGATTTGGGGCTTGGATACGTTTGGTTGGGCCCTCGGCAACCACTCCGGACCTTGTCCACGCCGCGGTGTCCAATTAATTAATGCGCGCGAGTGGCCGTAATGTAATTATGTCCAATCAGCCCCTGCAGCGCCGCCAGTTCCTGGCCTGGAACACACAAGGCCTCCGACGACTGGTGAAAATTTCGAGGCGATCGCCAGTTATACGCGCAACTGGCTGGCGGCCGGACATGGATTTCGACGAGGTGCTGCGGGAGGTTGGGTCCTTTGGCCTCTACCAGAAGGTCATCATATGTTCTGTGCTACTGCCGGCAGCCCTGCCCTGTGCCTTTCACGCCTACAGGTTGGTGATCTTCTGAATAATAGTTTTAAAAACTTTAATAACTCTTTTTTTTTTAGTCAGTTGTTTATAGCTGCTACGCCCCAGCACTGGTGTCGCGTCCCGGAACTGGAGCCCTGGCTCCAGGACTATGTTCCGCTGGTAAAGAATCTTAGTATTCCGCGAGATAGCCAGGGCGTCTATGCCGAGTGCTCCATGTATGCGAGAAACTACAGCGACATCGTTCGATATCTGGAGTATCGTCCGCCCCCGGAACTGCTGCGCCAACAGGCCGATGATCTTCTGAAGCAGCTTCCGGATAATGCACAAGTGGTTCCTTGCCAACACGGATGGAACTACGATCGGTCTATATATTCCAGTACCGTGGTGCAGGAGGTAAGAAGTATTCCTCCCATAAAGCCAATATTGGCGAATATTCTTTCCATTTACAGTGGAACCTGGTATGTGACCAGAGTTTTCTGGTGACCCTGGCTCTGGTGATCTTTGGCGTGGGTGGTCTTTTGGGCAACTATGTGTTTGGCTATCTGGTGGACCTGTGGGGCAGGAGGCCCTCCTTCTATGCCTATTTGCTGATGGAGATTGCAGCCTGTGCTGCTAGTGCCTTCGCCTGGAACTACTACTCCTGGCTGGGTCTGCGCTTTGTGGTTGGACTGACTGTGCCGGCCATCCTGGCCAGTCCCTATGTCTTGGCCATCGAGCTGGTGGGTCCGGAGCGGCGCGTCTTCTGCACCATCGTATCGAACATTGCCTATTCCCTGGGCCTGGTAGTGCTGGCTGGAGTGATCTATGTGGTGCGAGACTGGCGGGAACTTAGCTTGGCAGTGTCCATGCCCTTGCTGATGCTCTTCTCCTGCTTTTTCGTGCTTCCGGAGTCGCCGAGGTGGCTGATGGCCGTGGGAAAAACGAAACGAGCCATGAGGATCCTGAAAATAATGGCCCGTGTCAATGGCGTGCGAGTGAACCGCGACTTTGTGGAGAGATTGGAGCGAAGATTGGCTACCACTAGAGCGGCAGAGGCAGAATCATCGGCTGCTAGCAGGCACTATGGGATCTTGGACCTCTTCCGGGGAACCAATATGCGGCGCAAGACCCTGATCATCACGCTGATTTGGTTTGCCAACACCAGTGTCTATGTGGGATTGAGCTACTACGCCCCGGCCCTAGGAGGCGATGAGATCTGGAACTTCTTTCTAGCCGGAGCCGTGGAATTGCCTACCTATCTACTACTCTGGCCGGGATTGAGCTACTTTGGCCGACGTTGGATCCTGTTTATCTCGATGCTGGTTGGAGGCGTGGCCTGTGTGGCCACCTTTCTCTATCCAGACATCACACTGCTCCTGTACTGTGTGGGAAAGATGGGCATAAGCTCCTCCTTTGTGGTACTCCCACTCCTGGCCTCTGAATTGTACCCAACGGTAGTGCGTGGACTGGGCATGAGTTTTAGTTCAGTGGTGGCCATGGTGGGTCCGATTGTTATTCCTCTAATTAACCACATGGTAAGCTATAGCCCTTCTTAAAAGAATCTAAAATATGGAGTATTTTTTTCTTCCAGGGACAACAAATGCTGGTGCTTCCTTTGATCGTAATGGGAGCCCTGCTCATTGTGGGCGGCTTTGCCAGTCTCTTACTACCGGAAACACGCAACCGCAATCTGCCGCAAACCTTGGAAGAAGGAGAGGCTGTTCCACTTAGCTTCCTTCTTTGCTGTTGCGTTGAAAACGAACCAAAGCCAAGAAGTCCACCGGTGAGGACTCCCCCGCCAAATAGAGGAATTCCTCAGAGTGGGGTCAGAGTGTTACCAAATTTGGAAAGCCCTGTCCCCAATCGTGACCCCAGCAAGGTTGTTTGTAGCATATGTAAAAAAGAAATGCGTACATTGTAGTTTGTTGATCTTGACTCGTAGTTAATAAAAGTTTATTCATTAAAATTTGAAACCGGGCTGGCAGTTCTTCCGTTAAATTGATTAAGGCGTTGCCACACTTTTAGAAAAGTCCAATACAGTAAAAAATAGATTTAAGAAAAATTTAAAACAACCTTTTAATTTAAAAATTAATATTTGTTAATCACTTAATTTAAAATCTTGTTTTGTTTATTAACTGTATGTCTATTTGGTGTTCAATATTTATAGCAAAAACGTTCTATACAAAATCACCAAGCTTTTAAAGACAAGTTGGCAGCCCAACCGGCAATTTGAAATGGGGTTATTAAAAAAAAAGAATCAAACAACACAAAACAAAACAAATCATCAATTAAACTGGGATTAAAACTAATCTACTCTTGATTTATTGTATTAGAAAAATCACACAAATACATTCTGCAACAGCCCTATCTAAATGTATTTGCATCGACCTTATTATATTTTTATGAGACGTTGAAGGCTGATAAGACTTGAGGTTTTTAAACCGCAATCACAAGCTGCTTGTGTGGAACCTTCAAGAAGCGTTCCGGTTAAACTGGCCTATCATCACAGCGCAAAATTCGCAATTTTAAGGCATTATTCGAGTTTTTGGCCGTGACTCATGCCAAGAATTTGAACCAAAACACACTAATACACGGCCAAGGCAAGTGCCGCCCACATATGTGGATGTAGCTTTTCACCTTTGGAATAACCCTGATGATTATGTTACGCTCGGGACAATAGAAAAACACCTGAGACGCTTGAACTTATACGGCAAGGGTTTCAGTTGTTTTAACCAAACAGCTGCCGAATCTCAATGTCAACAACTTTAACTGCCGCGTGCTTTTCGCCCCTTTGCCACCCCTTGGGGCCCATCAGAAGCGTTGTCAAGCACACACACCAAGATACACATGTTGATTATGCAAGAAAAAAAAAAAAAGAAGTGCCAGAAATAAATGCGAGAAATATGATTTCATGTGTTTTTACAGTTCTTTTAATGTATGTTAGTTTGATGATCTAAAAAAATAGATTACAAATTATAAAACGTTTTCAACAATTTTGGTACAATTTGATTTTGAAATCAGAAATTTTGGACTCTTGTTTATGTTTTGAATGAATTTTGTGAGGGGGGGGTTTGTGGGGTGGCGGCGGGCGGGATATACATACATCATAATGTATTGGTTGTTAAGAGCTATAGCTAAAAATATATATGCCTCTCTTCCGCTACCTGGTCTCCATCTCGTTGTGGCAATGATTCCTTCTGGAGTGTCTGCGTTAGTCCCCTAATCACCTCGATTCGTTCGAAAAACTGTCCTATGTACTATTTATATTGTATTGTATGTGTGGGGGGGTGGCGGCAAAAATTAGAATGTGTTTCTGTCATATGTTGTGTGTGTGTTTTGGATTGTTGACTCTCATTCGGGTTGAGGAAACGTGCTTTAATCGTTTTGGAAAATACATTTTGACGGTTGTACACTTCGTTTCCAAACTATTACTAGTAGATTAAGATTGAAGGTTCCCTTAATATATTAAATATAGTATTTTATGTTATGTGTTCTGTTCAGCGCTCACTCGGATGCCTTTATTTTTTTTTTTTTTAGTATTTAGTATAGTGTGTTTTTTAGCATGACCCCCAAAAAAGTAGAGAAGGAACGTGAAGGCGGCTCATCCAGAGACATACCACGACTATCTGAACCTCTAACGCCTCCAGCTTTCCCGGAAAGGTTGGTCTGTGATATCAGGGACGGGTATGCCCTGTATGCTTGCCCCTTCGATTCTGTTCTGTTCCTCCTCCGCATGTGTTTGTATGTGTGTTTTCGGTGTGTGTGTGTGTGTGTGTAAGGTGATTTGTCCAGTAGTGGCCAGATGGCGTTTAGGCCGATGCCGCCACTTCTCCGGCCTTCTCATCCGCAGCCTTCGCGCCGGCGATGGCTACTTCCTCGAAGTTCTCAACGAGATCCGGTACATCATCGTCACCGGCATCAGCACCGGCGGAACCGGCTGCGCCGCCGGCGGCGCTCTTGTTGGCAATCTCCGTGGCCAGCTTCTTCAGCTGGTTGATGTCCTGGGGTCCGAGTTGCGTAAGGATGCCAGGTACCATCTCAGTGATCGTCTTGTTCTCACCATGACCAGTAATAGCGAACGTGTTGGTCGGCAACGAGGCCTGCGCCTTGGGGTTGTTGAAGTGGATGACGGTGCCGTCGTTCTTGATGATGTTCACCTCCTCGATGCCGGGAATGGTGTTCACCGAAAGCTTCTTCAGCGACGATTGCAGCTTCTTGTCGTCGGTGGCGGGCGTGGAGTGCACAATCTTCTTCTTGCGACGGGGGGTACCCTTGCCGCCAATGCGCACCTGCGCCTGCAACTTCTTCAGCTTCTCTGGATTCATCTGCGGGTTTTAAAATTTCGTTAGTTTCACTTGTTAAACGCACTTTGCTTGCGGTAATTTTCCACTAGCCACAACCGTAATTACTTTGATTTTACAATAATTTAGCACAGAGCCTAGCCCGAAAACACGTGCGCCGAGTTCGATGAAATGTCAAAAAGAAATCGCCATGATAAAAATCGCAAAGCAGTATGTACATATATGTGCTGCCTTAGTGTTGCTAAGTAGTACTATTACTATCGATAAGAATCGGTGTCCATTATATGGCGTTGTTATACACTTTGTGGATATTAGAACCACATAAAAATATTAAATTAATACAAATTTGATTTTTAGTAATATTTTGAATGTTTCTTTGTTTATATTTTAAAATTCGATAGGCAACTATCGGAGGATAATTATCGAATCTTCTGAAACATCTGATGGTGTGGCTGCTAAACACACCTCGAGGCGTAAGTGTTGTCAACCTCACCTTTTTTGTGCGCATTTATCAACACTAAACCTTCCGGCCTGGTCTAAATTGCAAACAATAAAAGATTAAATTGCGATAAGATATTGTTGTTAAACTTGATTAGCCTTTAATTAACACCTTCCCATTGGACAGGTAAACGACAGTTATTCTGTACCACGTGTGCTTTTGCGAGAAAGTCTAGAAAAATCGAACATTAAGTAGAAGAATTGCATTCCAACAAGTTGCAGTAATTTATTATTTATTTCTAGGAATCCCCTGTTATTATTGGACAACCGTGAGTAATTCAAAAACCTTTAAATCATATAGCTACAATAAGAAAAATTAATATTTGCCCAGTGGAGGACTTTGAATTTGACGAGTTGGAAAGCGCAATGGATTTCTGGGGAGTTTTTATGTTTTTCGTTTTAACCTTCCTGATAATGAGCTGCTGTGGATATTGCTGTAGCAGCCGACGCCAGGGCGCTGTTTTATCGAGTGAGTATATACTATATAGTCCTTAATGTAATCCTATCATCTTAATAGACAGCACCCATTGATGAGTCATATTTGCACCACCCCAAGTTCACAAAAAAAATGAAGTTCAAACATGCTAAAATATTTAATATCATTCGCTTGTTTGCGTGAGAGAAGCTATAAATATATAAGTAAAACAATTTGTTCTTTGCCTCTTATCTGAATTAAAATTAAGCTTTGCATAATGCCAACTGAGAATTTCTAACAAAAATAGAGAGGCAATCCGAAAAAAGAGCTTTTATTAAAAGTCTCTTATCTCTTGCTGGTTTGCTTCGCTGTCTGTTTCGTAAACAAAATCAATTATGCTCTCTCTGTGTAGTTTATTATCAGCAGCGCTAAAATTTAATTATCTAATTGAGTTTATTTTTATGTTATCATACCTTATCGACCAGGCTTTCCAATATTTTTGCAGACCAACGCTCAATTTGTTAATATTTCTTGAAGAAAATTATATATTGATCATGTTCTGAAAGCGGGAATAGATGCTTTGAATGTGGGCCACTGAAATCTCCTCTTTTAGCTTTTTTAAAAAGAAAAATTTTTAATTTTTTAATGGAAATTTATTAAAATATTTACCCCTGAGTCATTTGTAGTCCCCTTGTGCTTCGATAACAGTATGATTTATATTTGTAGATAAGTAACTGACAATTGTATCCAAGGCCTATTATGTTCAATAAAAATACAATAGGAGATAGAGACCAGTATTCGCCAGACTAGAATACCGAACGCATCGAAACGACAACGAATATATAATTAATTTAAAAAATGAATTATTTCGCTCTGTGGCTTTCCCTGGCAATAGTGTTTTTTCTTATATTTGTGATCCTGCTTCTTCTGCGAATCCGTAGAGCCCGGCAAATACGTATGGCCAGGGCCCCAGTGACCACTAATGGTGAGGACTAGTCATTAAATGAATATCAAGTGGATAATGATCGTCGCTCCGATTCGGGGAAATCGCTTCAGACAGTCAAAGACTATCAAAATCTAATCACAAGTGCCTGAAACTTAAGTCGCCATTTGCATTGGTCGTCCTGATTATCAACTAATTTTACAAATTTTCTAATGCCTTCCCATCAATCGAATCCGGCTCGTGTGCGCTGCCTTGTTAACGCTTTTGGCAATCTGGTATTATTGGCAGGCCTTTGACGTCAAAGGCTAAACGTTGTTGGGTCTAAACGGTTCCTCTTATTATTGCTATGATATTAAATTATATTTACTGTTGTTCGAATTAGGCGATACGGCGATTGATTAGATGCGCCAAAATAGTTGGGACAAGGTTTGCGGAAAAACCCCATTTTCAAAAAGATTGTTTATATTTTCAAGGAAAGTTACTCTGATATGGATCAAGAAGAGATTTTCATATTGTAGGCAGATTTTTAAAACATAAAGAAGAGTTACTAGAACTAAAAACATTCAGACAATACCTAGATGTTATATTTAGGGATTACAGATTTTCCCGACACTTTAGTACCTTTGAATTTCCTCATAGAATCCCTATCAAGATTTATTATTTTATGCCCATTAGATAATACCAAATCGAGTGCATTTTATAGGAGCTACTATAGCTTTATTATTTTTTTATTTTGAACTTTAATACATTAGTTAGACAAGAGCTATAAATAAATGATTACAGTCTCTCGTTTAAAGAGCCTTGTTGTCATTGCACTTGAGACAGACTTCCTCAGATTCGGTGGAAAGTCTGGGGGAGGTCTGTGAGTGCGGTATTATTCCGCCGCGGATTTATTGTGTACCCGCCTCTAACCGCCTTCGATAAGTCTCATTCATGGCTGACGTCTACGCAGATTGGAGATTTGTGGGAGAATTGGAGTCGAGTTGGACTCGAATCTAGAAGAGGGGCTGAGAGGATTCCTAAACAAAATCAACTCACAGTTTCTCTTTTGATTGATGCCGAGTATTGACGCAGGTTTCAAGCTGTAAATACAATGTCCACTTGAGAATTTTTATGATACCCCCGATTCTATGCTAGCTTTTGGCACCGGTATCAGGACTATATGGCGTCTTCGAGCCGATTAAACCCATTGGCGCGTCATCGGCGGCCAGCAATTGGTTGACTTCTTTTAATCTTATCAGGTCTTTCAACTCACATCGCCTTCGGGTCTGGGCGGGAGAATCCGTCGGACGCTTACAAAAGCCGGCGTGGAGACTCACCTGCTCCGCACTCACTCCTGAAGTTCGGAACGCAATGAACACGATCGGACCGCATCCCAATTTCGCATTTAAACTGGCGTAGTTACGAGAACGTACACAATACACCCAACAAGACTGTCTGCCAATCGAATTTTTAGTCTTTAGTAAATCGTAATCCCGCTCTCGAAACAATGCCGCATGTCCCGGGTGAAAAGGACTTGGAGGTCTCCACCATCGTCCTTTGCTGTATATTCGTTGTAGTCCTTTCTCTTCTCCTGGCGGGCATTATCCGATGTGCGATGCGGAAAAGAAATCAACGGAAGGTCGACAATGCGGTCATCGAATCAAGTTAGTACCTAGTCCAGCTAGAAAAGTGTCTCCTATTTCCAGACTTTGTGATTTTGTCTGATTATTTTGTCAATTGTTATTAAAAAAAAACAAGTTACTGTTGTTTGTGAAACTGTTTCTTGATGGTCTATTGTTTATAATAAATGTTTTATTGTCATTGCAAGTGCTAAACCTTCACATAAGAGCTAAGTGGTATTTTTGTGGTAACTTTCTGGATGAGTTTTTGAGAAGCCGAAAAGCAGGCTTCTATTTTTGATTCAGAAATTCAGTTTCTGTGTTGTTAGAGGTTTAAAGAAAGATATATATTTGTAGAAAATAATTCAAAATGTTTGTTCAAAAAGTATCAGAGTTAGTGTCGAATATGGATATTGCAGAGATATTATATCTTCTCACCTTGTTGCTGCTGCTTCTTATGGTTTTTAAAATTATTGGCTGTTGTAAAAAAAAACGTGAGTGTGAAATACAGAATGCGATAAGATTTTTCTATGAAAAAGTTTATCTGTTTATTTTTCCACTTTTAAGACTTGTTTCTCTCTTTTTTCATTAAAACTTTATTTATAGTATATATTTGCAGTGAAAAAGGGAATTTACCCTTATATTTTATCTGTATTTGCACAAAATACAGTGATAATGATTATGATAAGAACTTTTGCAAAGCTTAACCTTATTGAGAACAAAAATCGATCCTACAGTTTGATTTGTCGCGTTCAGTAGTTCAGTTCCTGGCGGTTAAAAGGTCTTCCAAAAAAAATGAAACTTAAAATTCCCATACCTATAGTTATACCTCGTGATGGGCCTTCTTCAACGTACAATGAAAGTGCTTCTACATCGACTTGTATCGTTGTGGTGATCGCCAACATAATCCTAATAGTTTGGGTTAGGTATTGCTGCTCGCGTCGTTGCCGTAAACGTAAAGGTAATGATTTGGGATTATACGATTCCATTGAGAATAAAGTTCTGTTCAAGTTTGTTTTTGAGAGATATTTTTGTCATTTTTTTTAGAAGAATGTATGTGTTTTTAAGATGTAGAAGCTTACAAATCATCAGAATTCCACAACGTCCTCATATAATCAAATATAAATTCTGTTTCAACGCTGGCTTCCCCCTAGGTTATCTTTGAAGCTTGATTTCCTGTCGTCATAATAAAGAATTTTGCGAAGCTTTACTTAATCATCTCTCAGTTTGCTTCTTTGAGTCCGATTGTTCACGTCTTTGCGGTTAAAAGTTCTTCCAACAATGTCATATCCAATATATAATTATCCTTTCCACTTCGAAGAATGGAATACACCTAAACCTATAGTGATAACTCGTATGCAGATGCCTGTTTATGAACAAAATTATAAATTCCAAGTTCTAGCTGTGGTGATTGTCAAAATAATCTTAATCATTTGTATTAGATGTGTTTGTTGTAAACTTTTATGCAAACGTAAAGAACAGGATGATGAAGGTAAAATGTTAATAATATTTATTAAATATTAACTGAATTAATATTCGGATTTATTAAAATTTGCGAAAAATAATAATGACTTGAGCTTCTCCAGCCGAGATATTTAAAAAAACCCATTTTTTGTGGCTAATATCTTATAGATTTATGAATAATTATTGTATTGTGCTCATTTTTTAAAGCTTTCCTTTGTAAAGAGTTAAATTATATTTTTCAGTTCAGTTTTTTGAGTTTAACTGTTCAGTGCATTCTTTTGAATAGTGACCGTGAAAAAAATGGTCAAAATTTTTAGAAAAACAACCATTCATAGGACCCAAGTATATAGACCCCCTGTACTTTTTGGGTCGTCTGGTACCGTAAGGTATACGACCCATGTTACGGGTGGCACGATCGGACTAGTCGCATTTATTTTGGCGATTTTGTTGGTTTACGTTTGCTATCGGCTATGTAAAAGATCCAATGTAGAGGAAGAATATGATGAATATGACGAATATGAAGAACATATAGAAATTGAACAACGTGAAGGTACAAACATATAAATTAATTTTATTATAATAAAAAAACTGAATATTATAATCTTTAGATGAAGAATCTTTGGAGTCCCTATTTTCGAAAAAATCATAAGCACAGTTCTTGCGGTCGCTAATAATGGCGTTTGTCGCTTGAGAGACAGATATCTCAGTATATAGATGGAATTAGTGTTTAATAGGGTTCTTACTAGATACTTTTAAGTGTCAAAAAAGTCTCCTTGTTTGCGTCGCAATCTTTTGAACAAAATATTGTACAGAATATTACTCTCCCCAAAAATTTCAATGAAAATATATTTAAAGATATTTGTGGTTAACTATGGTGCCTTGGTTATTCATTTTTTAAAGCTTTCTTTTGTCCAGAATAAAGTAATATTTTTTAGTTGAGTTTTATGAGTTTAGCTGTGTAGTTCGTTGCCTCTGAAAGTGTTCAGATAAAAAATGGCCAGAAGTTATAATCCTGTTCGATCACATTTCTTAAATTCTAAAACTACCGTTCGTAAGATCGTAACACGTCGTTATGTGTATGGGTCATTCACAGGTGTTACCTCAAGTAGTATCAGTCCCAAGCTGGAGGTCACACTCGCCCTGGTCGGTGTTTTTTTAGGGCTAATAATTGTTTTTTACCTATGCTATCGATTACGACGGATTTCCTATGAAGAATTGGAGGTGGAAGTGGATGATGAAAGTGATGATTATGATGAATACGAGCATTATGTAGTACATACGGAATATAGAGAATGTGAAAACGATGAAGGTATGACATGATGGCATTTTTCTTATTTTGGAGTTAATCCTATTCACTAATATACATTTTTGATAGGGTCGGATATGTCTCATTGTCTCGTGTCAATTTAAGATGTATCATGAACATAGTACAAAGATAAACCGTAGATGGAAAAAGTAATAATTTTTATAAAAAAAAAGCTCACTTTAAAGTATAGAATATTATGCTCAATATTGATGACATATTTTTGGTTTTTTTGCGGTTGGTCTGGTAAAGATTCATGAATATGAATAATGCTATATTCATACAGCATAATGCCTTTTTCAATTCTGTTTCTCATCCAGCCCTAAATTATATTTCACAGTTTAGTTTTTCGCGTTCGGTTGTTCAGTTCTCTAAGCTCTTCTTCAAGTATTTCAAAAAATGTCTGAAACCAGCGTAGATTTGAAAACAAATGAATTAAATGCGTTTAGATATAAAAATTATTTTGCAATTGCCGCATGTGTCCCAGCTATAATTATACTTATTTGTCTTCTCTGCTGCCGTTGTTATCGATGTTTGAAACCACATAAAGGTACATAGAAATAAATCAAATATCCTAGATCCTTAGATAAGATGGACAGTGACATTTATGTTAATCAAAAGTGAGTGAAATTGTTACAAAATTCAAACAAGAAGCGTTGGGTTACAGTAGTCCAGTTGTTTGGGGATTACAGCTCTATATAGTACTCTGGATCGCTTCGAGTATGAGTTTATCAGGTCTATTTGTTTTACTAAGTTATTGGCTGTCGGAAGAAGATTTATTAATAGTCTATCTCACACTGCTAATAATCAACACAAATGCTTTAAGCTTCCCTACTCTTGCTAGTATTCAACGTATCAATGACTCATTCAGGCATTTATTCTTGGCTGCAATCAGGTATTTTCCCTTAACATAAAATGCAAGCACAGCTTGCAAGTCTTCTAAGATTGCCGATCAGTTAGTTTGTTTAGTTTGTGGCGGTTAAACGTGTTTTGATTCCTCTGCCATGCCACATTACTTCGACGAACCAGATCCAACTAGGTCTGATATCTCATTTAAAACATATCGTGCCATTATATTAGCGGGTATTATTATTAATATTCTGCTGCTATTCTGTTGGAAGTGCTGTTGTAAAAGGTTTAAAGAAGGTATGAATTCAACTTAAGAAAACTCAAGATTCTAGAAATAAGAAGTTAGTTTCCCAATATAGAAAGATTAATAATAAGTAATAAAATCATTAAGGGTCCTTAGTGAAAGGTTTTATTATTTTAAACTACACTTTTCTTATACACCATATTGCGAGTAGATTAAAAAAAAAAACCACATTAAAATGTGTCATAAAAACATATGCTTTAGCTTAATTTAATATTTTATGCAGGCCTTGATAAAACATCACATTCATTAAATGATTAATCACATCAAGCCATATTTTGAATATGCATTTATTTTTATATCTTTTATTGGTTTATTTATATCCAATTTCATATACTTGTAAAACCTTAAAGTGATTTGATCAAGAAATGTAAAAAGTTTATTAAACTTTAAAAGAAAAGTCTAGATAAGTGAATTCAGTGTGAATGTCTTGAGATATTTTTAATCTTATCTCGCAGATATAAGTTGGCTTTTTGTTAGAATATCTGATTCCAAACATTTTATTAGAATCAGTTTCATCTTTGAGTTTGTGGATAACTAACGTGATGAATTTTTTTCATATGAATAGTGGGAATTTGTATGATCCCTTTTCTGATATCACTTTCATAGAAATGTTTATACTCATTACGGTTATAATATTTTTCTTTTGCGTAGTGTTAAATTGTTGTTTTAATTGTGCAAAGAGGGCTAATAGAGCTCAAAAGACTAAACGTAAGTTGAGTAAAGGAAGTTGATCATATTTCCATATACAATCTATCTTTATATCTTTGAGAAAAATTTTATTATAAATCATCAAAGAAATATAATGCTTAAGAAAGCATCAAATATTAGTCATACGAATATGATCCATCTTGGGTTATCTCAAGAAAATCCCAGCTAATTGTAACCCGCAAATAAATAATATAATCCCCATGGGGAAAAGCTCACAGAATGATACCTGACAAAGTTATTTTTTTAATGACGTCATGTGTAGAGCTTATTCCGAAAGCTAAACCCGTTCTTGTAAAATCATTGCCGTGATTAAAAGGGTATAACCCGCTATCTGCTTTCATAAATAGACAAATAATACTAGTCATTGGTGTCTAACGCTAATATTGATAAGGACATTCAATATAAATTAAAACATATTACTTAAAGCTTATATTGTAAAATTGGTCAAGTATAATTTGTTATTCAATAGTTACATATATCATTGTCTGTTTGAAACATTGTAATGACCTTTTGTGTTGAAATTCTATTATCTACTATCGTTTTCAAGATTTAGGACTTACTATCGAGTGTATGACTTGAGTTTTTTTATTATGTTTGTGCAATATACACTGATAATAATAGGTTGTGATTGCAGGCAGTTTCCTTTTAATATTTTAGGCTAATGCATTTCTATTAGATGGTGTTACTAGTTCCTAATTGTGTAATAACGTTGTAATAGCCCATTGAGGTAATCTATAATTAAATTTGATGAAAAAACCTTTTAGCCAAATTCCAAAGCCAGATAGATTCAGTTCGTTTTTTGTGGGGCATCGTGAAAGTACAAACATGTCTAACGAAACCCAGGCTTTAGGCCATGTGTCGGAATACCATCATAATAATACTTTTCTGTATTTAAATATTGCTCGCATGGCTTTTAAGTTGATTTTCATGGGTCTGATTGGCATTTTGGGTCTGGTGGCTTTCTTAAAGAGACGCCGTAGGACGGTGAATGATGCCCGTAAGTTTTTGGGTTAAGAGTGCCTCTATTTGGCTTATTTTCCCCCCTTGTTATCACTGATAAGTGTATGCGCTATCTTTATGAGTGCGATTGCCCTTTTCTTCTGCCATTACCGTGCAGTTTTTTATTTCAATTGGCAATATCTCGGCGTTTAGTTCTACGCTGTTGTTTAGTCTTTAGCCACCGCCATTCAAACACACAACACATCATGGATGATTCCGGCATCTATTGGATACTCTTCTTTACGCTTTCCGTATTCTTCCTGACCTCTGTGGCCGCGTTCCTGACCCGTGGCCGCCGCCGCAGAGAACCGCTCACCAAAGGCTCAGGTGTGTGCCAGGGGAACACCCATTTTTTCAGTGATAAGGGCGGAATCTATCATACATACCGAAAATCCCCCAATGGTTGAATATTACAAATCAAACAAAAACCTCCATCAGTTGTAGTTGAGTTTTTGGTGGTGGAGCACCGGTTAGAATTTCGAATAAAATAATACTCGCCATGGAACCGTGGGTCCCTCCAGTGATAGCATTCTCAGTGTTCATATTTGTCGCCATTCTGATGTGTACTTGCTTCTGTTGTGTGGTCAAAAAATTTAGAGCCATAGCGCTACGAAATGGTAAATATTCCCCAACGAAAGTGATTGAATTCTTGTGTAAAAAGAGTGACATGTGCGTGAAATGGCCATCTCAGCGATCGAGGTAATCGCTTATCGGGGTGGGCCATATAATCGGGCCCGGTGATTAGACATGGCCCAAGCCAAATGGCGATTGTCAGATGTGAGCTTTGGCAGTCTGCTTTGTGTCCACCAGATAGGTGTTTGTGTTGTTCCGAGCCAAGAAAATGTGGGAGTTCTTTGTGGCCTTCTCAATAGCCTTTACCATTTTCGTTATTACCTCGATTGTGGTTTGCATAAGAAGGAAGCAGAAAGCTGCTCGAAATGTGGGCTATACGATCAGTGAGAGTGGTGGTAAATAACAAATAATTAACATATTCGACAATCGGCAATAAAACTTTATTCTCAAACTGTTATTTTATATAAACTGATAAGATTGTGGTTAATCATTAGGCCATAATTGTGTAGACTCTACATTGTAAAGATAAGAAAAAGAAACACTATTTAAACGATATATAAAGTAATAGATATAATGAACAATTCACATATTTTTAAAGCAACTCTTTCCCCTTTTAATCTGTATTTTTTATGGCTACTTATCTCAATTGGTTTGCTGGCCTGACTCATTCCTTCTATTACTGATATTTGTTTTTTTATTTTTTATTTCAGCACCCGTGGTGGTGACTTCCGCCACCCACACAGCACCCGGTGGCTATCCGGTCACCCAGCTGCCTCCGCCAGGCTATCCGGCGGGTAATTCTTACTCAACTATGACAGCTTATCCAGCACAGACGACTAGGTAAGTAGTTAACCAGAAATAATCGCAGCAAAGCCTAAAATTTTGATGTTTTCTTTTCAGCAACGTAACCGTTCAAATGCCAATGCCTCATCTGCCACAGGACCAGCATCAGCCACCGCCCCAACAAATGCCGATGCCCATGCCCATGCCGGGGTAAGTTTCTAGCAGAACCCATTAAAAACCCCAATGCAAATATTAATTTTGGCTATTTTTTTTCTGTTTCAGAATGCAAACGCACGGTGTGGCCTATCCGCCGTATCCCGGAGCTGGGGCGTCCAACATGAATCCGCCCACCTACGACATGGCGATGGCCAATCCGGCTCCCAGCGTGATTCCCTCGGGCTACGAGAAACAGGCCGCCTACAATCCCAACTTCGGGCAGTAAGCCAAAAACGAGAGTTTAGAGATCCAAGATTCTTGAAGCTTTTTTTAAATAGCTTTATACTCTTTATACTTTTTTGGATTCACTTAGTTTTTTTTACTTTACACTAATTATCCAAAATGAATTCCAAAATATTAAAAAAAAAAACAATGAACATGTCTCATGCGACTGCACATCGAGTCACTTTTTATATGTATTTTCCTAGATCTGTGTATGTAAAGTGTGTACATATAACTTAAGGACCTCGTATTTTAATTTATAAATTACCATTTAAGAAACCAAAAAAGAAAAACAAACGAAACCGAAATCTATATGAAGTGTTGTTCCAAATAAAAGTTCAGGAAGTGCACAGAAAATGTATTTGTTTATTCTGATGTGCACTTCCATAGAAACAAAAAAAAAGATACAGAAATGCGAAAATGTGTTCAATTATTTCATAAAAATTGAGGATTTTATTTCAGGAAATATTTAAATATGGTTTTGTGTCTGTCGATTGATTGCCAGAGGGCATAGACTATGTTTTCTATTTAGTTTTCGATTACTATGGAACTTTGTGGGTGGTACATTCGTTTTCGTTGAGTCTTACCTCATGTAGACATGAAATATTATGAGTTAACCGCTTTTTCATGCCAGTTCTAGGCATTGCCAATCGGAAATTTACTCCATTTAAGCCAGACATACCCCAGGTTGGAATTATTTTTGATTTTCTGCCGCACCACTCACCACCAGATGTTGTCACTCGTCCCGACAGTTCTCCTGGTGCTACTCTGCCCGGAGGCTAGTCCCACAGATTATTGCAAAAAAAGACCTCTGCCATCCCCACATCGCCTGCAAGAATTATGGGGTAAATCGTATCATTTCTCTCAATTTATTGAATACAAGTGGAGAATATTTTGCAGGATTTCGATGAGAGCTGTCGGGCATCAACAAGTTTCGGAATCAGGTGGCCATGGACAACCATCCCTTCTGCATACCTCCTCCGGAGCTGGCCGGCCTGGCCAATTGCAACATCACGAATGATTTGATGAGGACATCACATCCATATCAATGCTAAGAAACCGCCCAAGGATGTGTAGGATGGGTTCGCGAATAATCTTTCATACACAGAAAAGATAATTAAGTCCTTTCCTTACAGTCAGTGTCGTGGGTATTTCACTCAACTAGTCCAGGACCTCTTCTAATACGTATTGCTGTGCTAGCTACCCGCGGAAAGATAGCCAATGGACTGATCTACCGGGAGAGCATTAATCCGACCTGTCGTACCCGGGACTGTGTTCCCCCTAAGACCATGTCAATACCAATGCCTTCCAATTAGGCCAGCTTTATTGAATTAGTCACGTTGCCGTTGCCGAGAATGAACCAAGCAGCTAAGATAGATTTTAAAATACATTTCCATATTGATTGCCATACCTATTGCCACGCTGGCTGGCCAAGATAATAAAAATCCGAAAATAATGAAAACAATACTAGTATTCCTCAGTTTATTGGCCTTCTCGTGGGGGAGTCTCTGTCGACAGGATCTGTGTCCTGAAAAATCTGTTCATGTTGGTTGCTTTACATCAAAGGTAGGTGCTTACCATCATGAGGTCCATAACTGACGATCCTCTCTTGCAGACAATGAGCCCTAAATGCGGCAAGGGTGCCCATGTCATCAATGTGAACGGTGGCCTGAAGCTCAAGATCCTGGATATGATCAACATCCTGCGCAATTACGTGTCCAGCGGGGTGGGAAACTTCTCAATCGCCGCCCGGATGCCCGCCATGAAGTGGGACAACAATTTGCAGCGCATGGCCAACGCTCAGATCCGCCGATGCGACCACAAGACTCCGTTCTGCGCCAACACCAAGAAGTACCACTATGTAGCCACCATCGAGATCAGGGGTACTATGCGAAGACGCGGCAATCTGGCCAAGGTGGTGTTGGAACGGATGCTTCCGGACTTGTTCAATGATCTCCTGGGCTGCAAAATGGATGAGACTCACCACTTCAAACCAATGATAGAGGGGTGGGTATTTCTGACTAGGAAGTGGAATTCCGGATACCTTTTCCTTTTACTCCTAGCCGCTGTAATGGACACTTTATACCACTGATCGAGGACTATGGATCGAAAATGGGCTGTGCCGTTCGCGTCAAGGCGCTGGCAGACGATCCCAAAAGGGTGTCCCTCGACCTGCTGTGCCACTTCTCTCGGGCCAATGTGAATGGGACACCTCACTACGAGGTGGGCACCGTAGCTACGGAAAAGTGCCGGACCGGAACCCACCCGATATACCAGTTCCTATGCAGCCCCGACGAGGAGATTGATGCCAACAAGTTGGTGGAGAAGGCCGTAATGCCAGACATACCAGACGCCATTAGTGCCAATGACACAGAAACTCGTAAATAAAGTTCATGCTCAGTTGGTGTAACCAAATATTTTTCTATGAAAAAGTCGATCTGTTTATTTGTCCACTTTTGAGACTCGATTCTCTCTTCTTCCATTAAAACATCTACATATATAAATATATAAAAGAAAGTCGTGTTAGCTACACCACTAACATATATAACTCAAGAACGGCAGAACAGATTTTGGTGAAAATTGGTTGGGAGGTAGCTTAGAGCCAGAAGACGGAGATAAGATACATAAGATGCCAACGTAATCCTAAATCCTAACGTAACGTAAGGTAAACGTAAAGGTAATGATTTTGGATTATACGATTCCATTGAGAACAAAGTTCTTTTGAAATTTGATTTTGTGAGATATCATTGTCACTTTTTTAGAAGAATGTACATATATGTTTTTATACCCTTGCAGAGGGTATTATAATTTTCTCCGAGACATCTCCGACCCTATAAAGTATATATATTCCTTATCAGGATCACCTCCTGAGTTGATATGAGCATGTCCGTCTGTCCGTCTGTCTGTCCGTTTCTACGCGAACTAGTCTCTCAGTTTTGAAGCTATCGTCTTGAAACTTTGCACACACCCTTCTTTCCTTTGCACGCAGTATATAAGTCGGAACGGCCCGGATCGGCCGACTATATTCTATAGCTGCCATATAACTGATTGATCGGAAATGGTATAACTTTGGTGTTTTTAGAGTTAGAGAATTTGACAAAAAATTCAAATTTGACACGAGAGCTATTTTTGGTAAATTATTACGACATGCCAAATTTCATAAGGATCGGCCGGCTATATCTTATAGCTGCCATATAACTGAACGATCGGAAATGACCTAACTTTCGTGTTTTTGAAAGATAGAAAACGTAATACAGATTCTATTATTGGCCAATTGATCCGACCTACCAAATTTCATTAGGATCGGTCGACTATATCCTATAGCTGCCATATAACTGAACGATCGGAAATGGTACTTGGTAGAAATATCAACTTTCGTATTTTTGAAGATAGAAGTTTGCGACTTTTTTTAGATTTTGTATTTTAGTAAATTGGTTTTATTATAATGTAGTCGTAAGGATCGACCAACTATATCCGATATTTGCGATATATATCCGGTTTTAACTGCAAGGGTATATAAACTTCGGCTCCGCCCGAAGTTAGCTTTCCTTTCTTGTTTAAGATGTAGAAGCTTACAAATCATCAGCATTCAACAACGTCCTAATATAATCAAATATAAATTCTGATTCAACACAATCTTCCCCCCTAGGTTATCTTTAATGCTCGATTTCCTGTCGTCATGATTAAATTAAAGAATTTTGCGCAGCTTTACTGAATCATCTCTCAGTTTGCTTCTTTGAGTCCGATTGTTCACGTCTTTGCGGTTAAAAGTTCTTCCAACAATGTCATATCCAAGATATAATTATACTTTACTCTACGAATTATGGACTACACCTAAGCCTATAGAGATGCACATGCCTGTTTTTGAAAAACATTATAAATTCCATTATTTACCTTTGGTTCTGGTTGCTAAATTATTGATATACATTTGTATTAGATATATTTGTTTTAATCTTTTATGCAGATGTGAAGAAAAGGATGATGAAGGTAAGGATATAATAATATTTATTAAATATTAGTTGAATTAATATTCGAATTTATTCAAATTAAAAAAAAATAAATAGAAAAAATGTCTTGTAGGGAAAAATAATCATTTTTATTTCCGAAAAATAATAATGTCTTGAGCTTCTCAAGCACAGATATTAAAAAAAAACTATTTTTGTGTCTGATCTCTTATAGATTTATGAATAATTATTTTATTGTGCCTTAATTTAATTTTTATTTCAGCACCCGAGGTGGTGACTGTACGCAATCCGCATCCACCCGGCATCTATCCGCCCATCCCAATGCCGCCGATCCCAAAGCGTCCTCCAACTACGACAGCTTCTCCGGCACAGACGAATGGGTATGATCTTTACCAGAAATAATCGCAGAAATTCTTACAACCTTGATGTTTTCTTTTCAGTAATGTAACCGTTCAAATGCCAATGCCTCATCTCTCAAAAGACCAGCGTCAACCACCGCCCCAACAAATCCATGGTGGTGGGGAATCCATGGCTACGAGAAACAGTCCGCCTAAAATCCCAACTTCGGGAAATAAACCAAAAACGAGAGTTTAGAGATCCAAGATTCTTGGTGCTTTTCTTAAATTAAATCCATTGATTGCCTAGATGCCTAGAGAGCTAGACTATGTTTTCTCTATTAGTTTTTGATTACTATGGAATTTTTTAGGTGGTACATTCGTTTTCATTGAGTCTTACCGCATATAGACAACAAATATTATAAGTTGACCCCTTTTTCATGCTAGTTCTTGGCATCGATCGCCGCCCGCCATGCCCGGCTCACCCCACTACGAAGTGGGGAAGGTAGCTATGGAAAAATGCCCACCGGGACCCATCCGATATACCAGTTCCTATGCAGCCCCGACGAGGAGATTGATGCCAACAAGTTGGTGGAGAAGGCCGTAATGCCAGACATTCCAGACGCCATTAGTTCCACTGACACAGGAACTCGTAAATAAAGTTCATTGTTAGTTGATGTAACCAATTGGTTGGCCAAGACGATAGCTACTCTTGGGTGATAATTGATTTTCCGGAATGCGAAACTCTATAAGAGGCAGTTTGGGGGCTCTGGAGCCGATATCGCCGAGATGTTGGACACCATGTGGCCGCCGTTGTTGCTGCTGATGATGGGACTGGTGGTGGGACAGCTCCGGGCCTTCGACTACTGTGATCCGACCTTGTGTCCCGGTCCAGAGAAGCATATAGCTTGTAATAATTTTGGTGTAAGGCTGGCAAATAATCTGCCCAAAGGACTTTCCATTTTCACTGACATCTTTCCAGGAGCTGGCAAGCACTTGCAGTCCGGACGCCCATGTGGTGCGCATTACGACAGCCCGCCGCATCATGATCCTGAACGAGTTGAACGAGTACCGGGATCGTATTGCCCGGGGAGATCTGATGGGTTTCAGTTCCGCCACGCGGATGGCCACTCTACAGTGGGACCCCGAGCTGGCCAGCTTCGCGGAGCTGAATGTGAAACGTTGCGCTTTGGTGAATGATCACTGTAGGAACAGTGAACAGTTCCGGAACGTGGCCCAGGTGGTGGCCGAGGGTGGGTGGCAGGGAGCAGCAAGCACTCCGGACACAGTGGCCAACCATCCAGATCCGCATACCACCGAGGAGGAGTACCACACCGAGGACGAGGTGATCAAGGCCACGCTGGAGCAGATGTTTGCCGAATACAAGGAGTGCAGCATGCGGGATATAATCGCCTTCAGCCCTCCCAGCAGCAGGTAGGTGCACGTCCGGGGAGTCCCGGATCCTAAAACATTGCCATTTATATTTCTAACCAGAATTCTTCACTTGCGGATCAGCAAGTGCATTGCCTACTTCACACAGCTTGTCCGGGACAGCACCACCCACGTCGGCTGCGGCATCCTCCGGCAGACGAAGAACACCACCAACGAGTCCGGCCAGTGGGTGCCCAGTGTACACCAATACATGACCTGTAACTTTGTGCGGTCGGATGATGTGAATGCTCCGGTCTACCAGAGCGGCGACCGTCCAGCCTCCGACTGCCGCACCGGCCGGAATCCGGTCTTCCTGAACCTCTGCTCCATTAACGAGATCTACGACACCTCCAGTTTGCCTGGATTCCTATAAAATCGAAAAATCAGATAAATAAATGAAGAATTGAAATTAAAAGGGATGTCTTCTTTAATTTTTCCAGGGGTACCCCCATGAAAATGTGAGTTTTTCAAATTTCTCCATTTTTGTTGCTTCCGATGTGCATAGCTCTGGCAATTTATATCCGATCATAAAACAAAGTACCATTTTATAATCAGCGAACTCAGAACCGCTTTTCCTCATTTAAAATATGGCTTAAATATCGTTTTGAAATTTTTCGAATTTTTTCCAGGGGTACCCCCATGAAAATGTGGGTTTTTCAAATTTCTCCTGTTTTGTTGCTTCCGATGTGCATAGCTCTGGCAATTTATATCCGATCATGAAACAAAGTACCATTTTATAATCAGCGAACTCAGAACCGCTTTTCCTCATTTAAAATATGGCTTAAATGTCGTTTTGAAATTTTTCGAATTTTTTCCAGGGAAATGTGGGTGATGAAAATGTGGGTTTTTAAAATTTCTCCTGTTTTGTTGCTTCCGATGTGCATAGCTCTGGCAATTTATATCCGATCATAAAACAAAGTACCATTTTATAATCAGCGAACTCAGAACCGCTTTTCCTCATTTAAAATATGGCTTAAATATCGTTTTGAAATTTTTCGAATTTTTTCCAGGGGTACCCCCATGAAAATGTGGGTTTTTCAAATTTCTCCTGTTTTGTTGCTTCCGATGTGCATAGCTCTGGCAATTTATATCCGATCATGAAACAAAGTACCATTTTATAATCAGCGAACTCAGAACCGCTTTTCCTCATTTAAAATATGGCTTAAATGTCGTTTTGAAATTTTTCGAATTTTTTCCAGGGAAATGTGGGTGATGAAAATGTGGGTTTTTAAAATTTCTCCTGTTTTGTTGCTTCCGATGTGCATAGCTCTGGCAATTTATATCCGATCATAAAACAAAGTACCATTTTATAATCAGCGAACTCAGAACCGCTTTTCCTCATTTAAAATATGGCTTAAATATCGTTTTGAAATTTTTCGAATTTTTTCCAGGGGTACCCCCATGAAAATGTGGGTTTTTCAAATTTCTCCTGTTTTGTTGCTTCCGATGTGCATAGCTCTGGCAATTTATATCCGATCATGAAACAAAGTACCATTTTATAATCAGCGAACTCAGTACCGCTTTTCCTCATTTAAAATATGGCTTAAATACCATTTTGAAATTTTTCGAATTTTTTCCAGGGGTACCCCCATGAAAATGTGGGTTTTTAAAATTTCTCCTGTTTTGTTGCTTCCGATGTGCATAGCTCTGGCAATTTATATCCGATCATAAAACAAAGTACCATTTTATAATCAGCGAACTCAGTACCGCTTTTCCTCATTTAAAATATGGCTTAAATATCGTTTTGAAATTTTTAGAATTTTTTCCAGGGGTACCCCCATGAAAATGTGGCTTTTTCAAATTTCTCGGTTTTTGATCTTTCCGATGTGCATAGCTCTGGCAATTTATATCCGATCATAAAACAAAGTACCATTTTATAATCAGCGAACTCAGAACCGCTTTTCCTCATTTAAAATATGGCTTAAATATCGTTTTGAAATTTTTCGAATTTTTTCCAGGGGTACCCCCATGAAAATGTGGGTTTTTCAAATTTCTCCTGTTTTGTTGCTTCCGATGTGCATAGCTCTGGCAATTTATATCCGATCATGAAACAAAGTACCATTTTATAATCAGCGAACTCAGAACCGCTTTTCCTCATTTAAAATATGGCTTAAATATCGTTTTGAAATTTTTCGAATTTTTTCCAGGGGTACCCCCATGAAAATGTGGGTTTTTAAAATTTCTCCTGTTTTGTTGCTTCCGATGTGCATAGCTCTGGCAATTTATATCCGATCATAAAACAAAGTACCATTTTATAATCAGCGAACTCAGAACCGCTTTTCCTCATTTAAAATATGGCTTAAATATCGTTTTGAAATTTTTCGAATTTTTTCCAGGGGTACCCCCATGAAAATGTGGGTTTTTCAAATTTCTCCTGTTTTGTTGCTTCCGATGTGCATAGCTCTGGCAATTTATATCCGATCATGAAACAAAGTACCATTTTATAATCAGCGAACTCAGTACCGCTTTTCCTCATTTAAAATATGGCTTAAATACCATTTTGAAATTTTTCGAATTTTTTCCAGGGGTACCCCCATGAAAATGTGGGTTTTTAAAATTTCTCCTGTTTTGTTGCTTCCGATGTGCATAGCTCTGGCAATTTATATCCGATCATAAAACAAAGTACCATTTTATAATCAGCGAACTCAGTACCGCTTTTCCTCATTTAAAATATGGCTTAAATATCGTTTTGAAATTTTTAGAATTTTTTCCAGGGGTACCCCCATGAAAATGTGGCTTTTTCAAATTTCTCGGTTTTTGATCTTTCCGATGTGCATAGCTCTGGCAATTTATATCCGATCATAAAACAAAGTACCATTTTATAATCAGCGAACTCAGAACCGCTTTTCCTCATTTAAAATATGGCTTAAATATCGTTTTGAAATTTTTCGAATTTTTTCCAGGGGTACTCCCATGAAAATGTGGCTTTTTCAAATTTCTCGGTTTTTGATCTTTCCGATGTGCATAGCTCTGGCAATTATTATCCGATCATAAAACAAAGTACCATTTTATAATCAGCGAACTTAGTACCGATTTTCCTCATTTAAAATATGGCTTAAATATCGTTTTGAAATTTTTCGAATTTTTTCCAGGGGTACCCCCATGAAAATGTGGGTTTTTATACCCTTGCAGAGGGTATTATAATTTTGGTCAAAAGTGTGCAACGCAGTGAAGGAGACATCTCAGACCCTATAAAGTATATATATTCTTGATCAGGATCACCTCCTGAGTTGATATGAGCATGTCCGTCTGTCCGTCTGTCTGTCCGTCTGTCTGTTTCTACGCAAACTAGTCTCTCAGTTTTAAAGCTATCGTCTTGAAACTTTGCACACATCCTTCTATCCTTTGCACGCAGTATATAAGTCGGAACGGCCCGGATCGGACGACTATATCCTATAGCTGCCATATAACTGATTGATCGGAAATGGTATAACTTTGGTGTTTTTAGAGTTAGAGAGTTCAAATTTGACATGAGAGCTATTTTTGGCAAAACATTACGACATTCCAAATTTCATAAGGATCGGCCGACTATATTCTATAGCTGCCATATAACTGATTGATCGGAAATGACCCAACTTTCGTGTTTTTGAAGATAGAAAGCTGGAACTTGGTACAGATTATATATTTGGTCAGTTGATCCGACCTACCAAATTTCATTAGGATCGGCCGACTATATCCTATAGCTGCCATATAACTGAACGATCGGAAATGGTATTTGGTAGAAATATCAACTTTCGTATTTTTGAAGATAGAAGTTTGGGACTTTTTTTAGATTTTGTATTGTAATAAATTGGAATATATATTCCTATTCCCATAAGGATCGGCCAACTATATCCGATGTTTGCGATATATATCCGGTTTTAACTGCAAGGGTATATCAACTTCGGCTCCGCCCGAAGTTAGTTTTGCTTTCTTGTTCAAATTTTTGTTGCTTCCGAAAGCTCTGGCAATTCTCATCCGATCGGGAAATCGGATCATATTAAGTTATTTTTTTATATTATTTTATTTATTTAAAAATAAAATATTTAATTATTTATTTCTTATTTTACAACAATTGTCAAACTTTCCTATAATCTAAAATTATCAGATAATCAAAATATAGTTGTATCCGCTGAATCATATTTAAGATTAAATGAAAACTGTTAGAATAAAAGAAATTGTGCCACTTGGCAATTGCATTATGGAAATAACAAAATCACTGACCTGAACTTGGTTTAACTTTCTCGATTTGCAACCTGGTATCTTTTATTCAATTTAGTTTGTCTTGCAACAAAGAATCAAAGTTGCCCCAGTTGAATCACACTTTAATTCCATCGCCATTATTATAATGAACCTGATTCGTGCCTCACCTACTCGTGGCATCTCCTGGCAGCAAGGCAGCTGGGCAAATTGAAATGTGTTCTCCCCGCTACTTTTTGGCACCTGCCAGCTGGGGGAACTGCATCCTGTATCCTGGCTGCAGTCGGACTCCTGCTGCCATCGGAGTCCTGGATCCTGCAGCTTCGCTGTGTTCGCTGTTTTCGCACCTTGGCTGGCGACTGCCAGTCAAAGTCAGCGGACGCAAAAAGTTCGTTGACAACTTTGGCAAACAAATTTTTTTATCGCGCACTTGCCACACCTTTTCGTTTATTTTTTATACCCTTGCAGAGGGTATTATAATTTTGTCCAAAAGTGTGCAACGCAGTGAAGGAGACATCTCCGACCCTATAAAGTATATATATTCTTGATCAGGATCACCTCCTGAGTTGATATGAGCATGTCCGTCTGTCCGTCTGTCCGTCTGTCCGTCTGTCCGTCTGTCTGTCCGTCTGTCTGTCCGTCTGTCTGTCTGTTTCTACGCGAACTAGTCTCTCAGTTTTGAAGCTATCGTCTTGAAACTTTGCACACACCCTTCTTTCCTTTGCACGCAGTATATAAGTCGGAACGGCCCGGATCGGCCGACTATATCCTATAGCTGCCATATAACGGATTGATCGGAAATGGTATAACTTTGGTGTTTTTAGAGTTAGAGAGTTCAAATTTTACAGGAAAGCTATTTTTGGCAAAACATTACGACATGCCAAATTTCATAAGGATCGGCCGACTATATCTTATAGCTGCCATATAACTGAACGATCGAAAATGACCCAACTTTCGTGTTTTTGAAGATAGAAAGCTGAAACTTAATACAGATTATATTTTTGGCCAGTTGATCCATCCTACCGAATTTCAATAGGATCGGCCGACTATATCCTATAGCTGCCATATAACTGAACGATCGGAAATGACCCAACTTTCGTGTTTTTGAAGATAGAAGTTTGGGACATTTTTTTTAGATTTTTTATTTTAGTTAATTGGTTTTATTATGATGTAATCATAAGGATCGGCCAACTATATCCGATGTTTGCGATATATATCCGGTTTTAGCTGCAAGGGTATATCAACTTCGGCTCCGCCCGAAGTTAGCTTTCCTTTCTTGTTTTTTATTTGATTTCATTTTTATTCAATTTTTTTGTTGTTGTTTTTTTTTACTTTTGTGTTTTACCTGGTTGACGGTAAAAAATGGCAAACGCAGCGTGAAATACGCAGCAACCGCAAATGGCGCGCAACCAGAAAAAAATGAAGGTAAAAACACCTACGAATACGAATATTTCCAGCAATTTTGGTTAAATGCAAAGAACCAAAAAAATAAAGGCGATTGTTTTCCCATTTTTTTAAATATAATTTATTCAATCGTGAAATGTGCTCGGTTGTGTTAGAAGTTTGCCATCGTGAGAGCTTTTGCATATGCAGAGTGGAGCTAAGTAATAAAATATAAAAGTATTTAAAATTTTAGCATCTGGCCACTCAGCCGTAAACACGTTTAAGGACCGTAAAAAATGTATAGGTGGTGTTCAGTAAATTCTGAAAGAGTTCCAGGGTAATGGGTCGGATGTTGCCAAGACGGATCTGAAATTTAATAAGATTCATTGGATGTCGATGCACGCTTAAGCCCTTCATGTATAACCCCTCACCGATGCCGGTCGCTGGGCCCTCATCATCATAAACAGGATATTCTTCCTTATTGGAACCGCAAAGGTGAACCACTCTGTTTCATAGGCTGCTGCGGCCACCGCCAGGTTTTGTTCCCTCAGCTCGTTGGCGTACCAGTAGAGGGCCAGGATCTGAGCCAATATCATGTTGATGTACATGCAGACAATTATTACCTGGCTGGTGCCGTTCACCTGCAGAGGCATAGAGTCCTGCAGTGGTCGCTAGGATGCAACAAAAAGGATTGCCGCGTACTCACGATAATTAGCATAAAGAGAAGGGCACACAGTAGTGCCGAAAAGGCCAAAAGCTCAAAGAGAAACATCATTGTGGTCAGGGCATTGATTTGGGCCATGTAGTCGATGATGCTTTGTTGGTAGCGAATGCAGTCAACAATCTCGGCCGCCAGCTTCCGGGTATCGCACTCTCCGGCCGGATACAGTACGGCCACACGTCGGAGGCGATGCTGCAATGCCTTGCAGCGCACAATTCCGAACATGATGAGGGCCACCACCAGGCTGGTGTACGGAATGTACATGCAACAGCCCATCGGCGTGATGAGCATCTGAAAGACATACCATAGCTGGTAGTACGGAGTCGCGTATTCGTTTAGGCCAGGAATGCGACTGCCAAACGGAAGGACTGTGGAAGCATTAAAGGTGGAAGTTTATTGTTTTAAAGACTATTTTTGTATGAATCATATGCAGCGCGGTGGCGTATACGTAATATTCATTACTCATACGCAGTGTGGACAAACTTGAATAACTTACCCCTCTCCGTCGAAGCCAAAGGGTACAGGCCAAAGCCTAAGCAAGTCAGTAAGCCAAAAAATAGATTCCCTCTGGCCATCATCTGTCCAACTCTATTGACTTCAGTTAGCTCTTCGTCAATATAGCCATCATTGAAACTCAACAGTTCATAATAGGCTTTGGTAAGATTCGATATAAGGGCCACATATCTGTCATGATCCATGAGCAAGAGATAGGCTCGCAGGACTGTGTTTATCCACAAAACCAACATATAGGAGTTACGAATAATGCCAATCAGGCCTTCCGTGGTGCTGATCATATACATAACCTGTGTGATAATGTGGAAAGAGGCCAAGATGAGGCAGATATAACGCCGCACATTCTTGTCATAGAGCAGGCCCCAGAATCGCAGGATCCTAATGTTCATGTAGATTAACTGGATGTCCTCGAACATGGCTTATATCTTTGCTCAGGACTTTGATTGAGTTCTGAGTTGCAGAAGGAAGGTAATAAGCTTTTATAGGGCTTACAAATCGAGTGCTCTTTTAAAAGGTTTATTAGCTTAAGTCTCAAATATAGTTTCCAAGTTTGGATATTTTCTTCTAGAACTACCAGTATCAGCTTACTGATTCTATCAAAAATGAATCTAAAAATGGTTCAAAAATGTCTATTAATGTTTTAATAATATAAACCCCATTTTAGAGTATCAACTTCAAGACTATATTTTATAATTAACTTGCCACACAGGCACACGCCTGGCACCGACTCCCAGCTGCAGTCATTTAGATGCATTTTCCGGCCCGAAAAATTGCTGATGAGTTTGCAATATTTGTGCCTTTGAAATCGTTGAATTTATTTGCTGCATTTCATTGGCCACATATTGATTTCTTTTTGAATTATGATTGAGAGTGGGTGGGGTGGACTGGTGTAAGCTTATGGCACTTCAATTTATTTTTCATTAAATAAATTAGGAAGCTAGAATGAATTGCAATCGAGGCCAATTTGCCTAATGTGTTTTACTGATAAATTCCAATGCAATTTTTTATATTAACTGTGGATAACGATAGGATAATTGCCATATGGTATCTAAAAGATAAGTAAGTATCGATTTATGGTTTTAATATGATTAGTAGAACCTTTTGAAAATTGTTCTTATCTATAGATGATTAAATAGAAAACCAAATGATATCAAAGAGAGCTTTATTTCAAAGCTTTTTATTGTGATTTTCTATAGCTTCCATAGCTTTCTCCGATCAACATTTTAGTATAATTTTAGCTCTCGTATCGTGCGGTCCAATTAATAAAAAGTTCTGTACTCATATGACATCATGGATCAGTGGATGGTGGCTTTAGCTTTGTTTATTTTACTTCTCGGTTTGTTCTACAAGTGGTCGGTCTCCAAATACAATGTATTTCTGGAAAGGGGCGTGCCTTTTGAGAAACCCAAACCTTTATTGGGAAATATTCCCATCAAGGGCATGATGGGTCGCCTGGCTGTTCTGAAAGAAATGATCAACTTGCATATGCGCCACAAGGGATGTCCAGTTTATGGGATTTATGCCCTCCGAGATGCCATGTTCTTTATTCGAGATCCCGAACTTATCAAGCTGATTGGCATTACAAAGTTCGATCACTTTGTCAACCACAATGCCATGCACAACAACATGCAGGAGTCGATTCTGGGGAAGAGTCTGATATCATTGAGGGACGGGAGCTGGCGGGAAATGCGAAATATTCTGTCACCCGCCTTTACGGGCAGCAAGATCCGGGTCATGTACGACCTCATCCACGACTGCAGCAAGGAGGGCGTGCTGTACATCAAGGACCAGTTGAACCAGCAGGCAACCATCGACCTGGAAATGAAGGATTACTTTATGCGATTAGCCAACGATGTGATTGCCACTGTCGCCTTCGGACTCAATGTCAACTCGTTCAGGCGGAAAGATAGCGAGTTCTTCCAAATCGGACAATCTCTGTCCAATCGGACAGCCTGGGAGATGGTCAAGGCCATTCTCTACACCCTGATGCCCAGGCTAATGAAGGTGAGAACCAGTTGACTTACCTATAACCTTGATTTTGTCGCAGATTCATAGGAGAAATGGATGAGCGAGCCCAAAACAAGCCCATTTCTACCCGATCCTTGAGCGCAACACCTTTTATAGAATTTCATTCCTTGTTTTATTTCAGCTACTTCGAGTTGAGGTAATGGACAGCAAGAACATTGAATACTTTACCAGTTTGGTGAAAGTGGCCATGAAGTATCGGCAGGAGCACAATGTTGTCCGTCCGGATATGATTCATCTCCTGATGGAAGCCAAACAACAGAGGCACGACCAGCTGCAGGATCTGAGCAAGGACTCGCGCGACTATGTGGAATTCACAGACGAGGATTTGCTGGCCCAGTGTTTGCTCTTTTTTTTCGCCGGATTTGAGATTATATCCTCGTCGTTAACTTTCCTGACCTACGAACTTTGCCGGAATCCAGCTGTGCAGCAAAGGCTTTACGAGGAAATCCTGACAGAGCATCAGGACTTGATGGGTGAGCCTCTGACCTATGACCGCCTGATGAAGATGGAGTACATGGACATGGTGGTATTGGAGGGTCTGAGGAAGTGGCCACCGGCTATTGCCACCGATCGTCAATGCAGCGAGGATATTGATTTGTTCAGTAAAAGTGGAGAAAAATTATTCTCCGCCCGGAAAGGTGATAACCTGCAAATACCCACCTTTTCCATCCATCACGATCCGGAGAACTTTCCGGATCCAGAGTCTTTTGATCCGGAAAGATTCAACGAGGAACGTCGCTCGGAAATAAAGCCCTGCACCTTTCTGCCCTTCGGCCTGGGTCCTCGAAACTGCATTGGGAATCGCATGGCTCTCATGGAGATCAAGTCGATAGTTTACCAATTGCTGCTGAACTTTGAGATTTTGGCAGCTGAAAAGACATCCTCGGACCTGCTGGAGGACATCAAGGGTCATGGTCTCAAGCCCAAGGATGGCTTCTGGCTGAAGCTGAAGCCGCGTTCATAAACAAAGGCGAACCCTTCAAGCCTGCAACTTAGCTTATTAATCAAATGCATTTTTCCATTAAAAACTGCAGTCTCTCATTAATCAATCGAAGTGGGGTGTGATTGGGGGCTTTGGTGGGGATTTATTTAATTAATTTTCCAGAAGCCAAGTTGAAGAAGCAAGAATGCACCGCAAATGGCTTAAACTTAAACGAGAGTAATTGGTAAAAAATATAGTCAAGAAATTGTTGTGCTGTTGACAGGCGCGGCCCCCCAATATAAAGTATACGGCAGAAAATCGCGTTGTCCGGTTCACTTGAGAGCACCCGGAGTGCCACGAACCCATAGACCGGAGTCCGGAGTACGGACAGCCAGATTCCGGACAGTGGAGCAGCTGAGCTGAGCCAAAAAGTTTTTGACATTCTCGTTATTTATGTGCTTTGGGGGGCTATTTGGTATTTAGGCAAAAAGTTTTTTGGCCCGTCTAAGCAGTTAATACGATATTGATTTATTCGCCAGTCAACAGCTGTGAGATAATAAATATTATGCAGCTTTCAAATACATATTTGGAATCTTTTGTGACTTGTCCTCCTCCTGTCCGTTTCTCCGGTGGGGAAACTTTTTTGTTTTTGATTCCCAGAGATTTGATTTATAAAGCGGCCAGCGATTAAGCTTTGATCCTTCTTAAAGTTTGTTTTTGTCAACAAAAAAGTACAGAAATCCTTAGGAAAAGTTTACCAGCTTGATAATTATTTTTCCTGCAAATGACATTTAAGACGTTTGTCCTGGAAAATTGCTAGAATTTCCATCTCCATTACAGACAGAGTCTGGCTGGCAACAAATTGCTGTGGTTTTCGGGACATAGAACGCTTGACCATAAGTCCGGCCCATTTGCATAATTATTCATTGCGCCGCATTATGAGCATAAATAAAAGCATGCTTCACTGCACACAACACACCATACACCATACACCGCACACACAGCAAAAAGCAACAAAAACAAAGCAAAAACTGTCTAGGAAAAGCAGGAGCATCCCAGCATCACATATGAAGATAATGCCTTGTGGGGCACAAAATAAACTGTTGTAAGCGCAACGCTTTTTGTTTCTTATTTATTGTTGAGCATTTTTTATGGCCCAGCAGCCCAGCCGCCCAGCAGTTTCTTCCAGCAAGCTATTTATGGCCAACATTACCGACTGGGATGCACTACCAATCCGCTTGCATTTTACTGCAACGGAATACCAATTGAAGGGAATAATAATGGAACTATTTTCCAGCGGAAAATCGAAAAGCGAAATCGAGAAAAGTCGAGGGAAGGCGCCGCATAAAGATTAATATCGAATAAAGTCGAGCAAATTATGCAGTTGCCAGGACAATCCAGAATCCAGTCAGGATCTAGGATAACCACAAAAGACGAGCTTCTCAACTACATAGCTGCTCGATGGATGTGTCGCCTGCCTGCTCGAAATTAAACTCAAACTTCGACAAAGCCCCCTGGAAACTATTCTCATAAAACTGACATGTCTGCGACGGAATTTCTGTGTATTCCACGAAGTTTGAGATTCCGGGATTCCCGGGGACGACAGCCTTAACACCGAAATACTCAATTAAATAAAGTTCAGCTTGAAATTGCATTACATTTATGAACGTGAGTGCTTGCCGCGGAGTGGTGACGACGTCCTTGCAGCAATGTCATTCAATTTCTTGCATTTTCTTGCCATGCATGTGGCATCCAACAACAAGCCGCAAGAAAGTTATGTGGCAAGTGGCTTAAGATTTAGTTTTCTTTTGAGACTTAAAAAGTAAAGGCTTATGCAAGGGCTTACCCAAACTAATTGACTAAATAATCCAGTCTCTCGCAACATTTCAAATATTCAAACATTAACCCCGAAAGGTCATTGACAATTTCACATTCAATCACATTCCATAAACGGAAATTTAATTAACATTGATGCGGCCTAATTATAATAATTACATTTAAGGCTGTAAGTCGCTTTGAACGTGTTTTTGCGGTGGTGTCGGACTAGTAACCATTGACAACCTACAGCCCATGCAATTCATTTAATTTACAATTTCAAAATGCAGCATAAATATATGTATATGTTGTATGAATGGATAAAATCAATATATTTACAGTTGCAGTTGGCAGATAATATGCAGCCAATTGTTGGCAGTTTGCGGTTTGGCGCAAAATACTGGGCTTTATGGGGATTACTGACCCGGCCAATGGTGTATGGCCTTTACCGCTTTACCGCACTACTTAGCCAAATTGCCAACCAATGAGTCCCGAGTTCCGAGTCCGGAGTCCGAAGTCCTTGTCCTGGGCGTATTAAAATTTTATGCAAATAATTTATGTCCTTTCCGGCGCTCGGCGTTAGGACGTGGGGGAGTTGATCCTCCCGAGGACTGTAGTTGATTTAAATTGATGCCGGGGTGACTTTATTAGAGGGAATTATAATCTCAAATGGCACAAATTGATGGGGCATTACTCATACGTGTATTTGGCCTGAAAAGCCAAACATTTATTTCACAGCTTTCGTTTTATTCGAGTTTGGCAAGAACCTGAAAACAATCTTGTTGGGGATTAGCCTCCCAAGCTCTCTTTCGACCATTTTGTCGTTTTATTATTTCCCTTATTTTCCAAAAAAAAGCCCTGCTATAAATACGTTAACGTATACGAACACATCCTGCCATCCAGCCATCCAGCCATCCTGCCCGGCATTCCGTGCATCCGTATTCCGGTTCTTTTATGACAGAGAGGCCTAAAGTGCCTACTTATAAAATCAAAATCATAAAAAATAATGTTAATTTCAATATTGTCTCATTAAATGCGTATAAAACTCCAGCCGGTGAACATGTGTGCCTGTTATGCCTGTTCCTATGTCTGTGTGTGTGATGGTGTATGGGTGTGTGTGCGAGAGTGTGTCTCTGTGTGATGAAAGAAATTCCGTGATGGCGGACAGGAGGTTGGGAGAAATTTGTTCATTTAACCTGCCTTAACGTGATGGCCCGAAAATGGTACAGTGGAAGGACCTTAATAAAATTATGAATTTTAATATAAAAGTAAGCCGGTATGGCTTTGTGTTTTGGGATAATCCTGGAAAATATATATCGATAAGGAACTTACAAGACAAATATTTAAGATACTAGTATCATGTGGAGGATAATAAAATAAATAAAATTTTAATAAAATTGTTATACTTCTCATACATAATAAGAAATAGTCTGAAAGGTAAATATATATATTTTATAAGTATATCATCTAAGGACTGAGAAAATTTTACCTCAAATTATTTTTTTATTTATAAAATATTAAAATTTAATAAAAGAGAGTTTTTAGAATGCTTCAATGAATGTCTACAATTGGGTGGATTAGTTAGGATTATCTTTGGGAGAAATAAGAATAAGAATTTAATTTTGTAACCTCTTTTTTTGAGAACCATCTTTGAGCCACTGTGCTGAATTTTTTATTTTCACCAAGTATGGGTGCGTGAAATTTAAATAAAACGTGCGATTGTCGAGCAGCTGTTGCCGTTTCCCCCCTACATCCCTCTCCCCCAGTCACTCCACAATTTTCCGTATTTGGTCCGCCGGAGTGACAAGGATATGCAGGGAAAGGGGAGTAAGAAGAAGGACGAGCAGACGGATGAATCGGCGGACAGGACAGGACTGACAGTTGGGAGTCACGCACCCACACACGCGTATAGTTACGTGGCATGGAGCCGGATGCTGCCACACCAAGGCACACACACACACTCCCCGACTGTGTGCCACAGTGCCACACACGCACAGTGGTCGGGAAATGTGACAGGATGTCATTTTGCAACGCATCCGAAACATAAACACCGCCAGCATCGCTTTTCTTTTGTACTCCCCCATACATACATATGTGAAAATTATGCTGCTAAAAGGCGGCAAATGTTGGCATTAGTGTGTCTCCCCCCTTAGACCCTTCTCTTTCACACCCAACTATACCCCTCTCTATCGCCAACTGAGTGTGTTTTTGGAAAACAAGCGAAACTAGGAAATTTGCATAAGCATCGGGAGAGCTCGTTCGTTATTATCAGGGTCTGGCTGTGTGTATCGTTGTGTTTAGTTATTTAAAATACACGTAATATTCATAATATGACGCAAATGCTTGTCATATTCCGGGAAACTGGAAAATTGTGTTTAACATATGGGTAGTACTTGTTGATTTTGGTTTTATTGGCACTATTGGTACTTTTTTTCGTCTCTCTCGATGATAATAATTAATTCAGTAAATGTTACAATTAATTTTCCATAAATAATACAAGCGTAGAAAATAAAACTTTACAATACTTGAATTGTTTTATTGTTTTTTCTTTCGCGGACAATCAAAAAAATGAGGAAATAAATATTAATTAGTTTGTTGATTTTTTTTTGTGTTTCATTGAGTTTAGTTTTCCCTGAGGCAATGCCAAAAACCAATAAATAACAAAGCCATTTTTATATATTACCTTTTTAGTTGGTCTGGCTTTGTCCGATTCGACCACAAATTCGAATATGTACACAATTAATTTAAATTGTTTTGGCCTGGCCCAGAAGTGATTTTTGGTAGGGGTAATAATATAAAATTTTCAAGTTAATTGAATAGAAATCAGGGCCAAATGGTGAAACAAATTAAAGGCTAATGAAGGGGCCTATCCCTACACTTTTTTTTATATTTTTGAATTAAGAATATTTGGAATTTCAATTAACTCAATTAATTTTAATATATGCCGCCAATTTGTGTCTAATTGTGTGTCGACACGTCCTTCAGAAGTAATTAAATCAGTTTATTACAAATATTACAAGCCCAAAGTTGACAGAATGACTGCCAGCACACAGTGTAAATAAACCAAAGTTTTCGTTTAGTATATTAATAAGTTTTGTGCCTTGTTTTGGAGGCTTCACTGTTGCCGTGTTTAGCACGACTGTGAATGTTTAGTTGGCATAATTAAAACAGAAATACCAGGCAAATCAAACCAGGCAGCCAGACAGACGAACGACGTCTGTGCAAATATCCATCCATTCCTCCTACTAAACTGAAATTGCACAAATAATGATAGAGTTGGCAAA